ACATCAGTTATTGTATGAAAGTAATACACATATTCTTATTCTTGCAAGTAGAATAACCAACATGACTTTTTGTTTCCACTTCATAGGCTACCTTTGCCTTTGCCTTGATCAAGTACTCACCTCTGAAGTACAACAATGAATACGTGTACCCAGTTTGGGGGGACGGGATTGGCTGGGTTCTGGCTCTGTCCTCCATGCTCTGCATCCCTCTGTGGGCAGCAGGAAAACTCTACTACACTCCAGGAACGCTTAAAGAAGTAAGTTCCCTCTCGTTTTGAGATGTACCAAGTTGAGTGCAGGAGGGAGTTTTATCCGTGCTCTGATTTTTTTCTTTGCCTTATGTAAGAAAATTGGAAAAGATGAATGAAGACACTCTTAGAATCTGTATAAAAAACACAAGTGGCGCACTGTGTAACGGATTTCTAGATATCAATCTGCAAAAAATAAAAAATAAAAAACAAATGAAAAAACTAAGATTTGCTGTGCAGCTTGCATGTTAGTATTTTGAGTGCTTGTTTTCTTTCATTAAGAAGGATCTGGGTTCAAATCCCAACTTCGGCTCTGAATGTTCCCCAGTTAGTTTTCTCTCTGTGCTATCTTGTGATGGACTTGGGATCTGCCTAAGGTGTACTTTGTCTTACATTAATATATTCATTGACACATCAAAATATTGGTGACCAAAGTGCCCAATCCTGCCAAAATGGCATTTTCTTTTAAATGAAGCATAAAATCTATCATATTCAAGATGGTGCTGTTATCTTCCATAAAAGTATGGAGGTGACATGGACCTCAAAAGGCTTCTTTTGTTTCAGGAAAACACATTTTAAGAGGATTGGCATGCTTTAAGACGCAATGGAAAGGCTGGAAGTGTATTAGCTATTTTCATACTTTCAAGAGTAATTAATACATTGACTCCAGATAAATAGAGATTAGATACGATCAAATTAAATATGGGCTTATTAAAGGGGCAGAATTATGTAAAATCGACTCTTTTGACCCCTACATGATGTCATAATGTTATTCCCACCTCAAAATCACACCTGAATTGTTGCCTTTATTTTTCTTTGCATGTTTAAGAAATCCTTCAATCTCCCCTGGCAACCATTCTGCTGTGCAAAATGCCTGGGTGAATCTTGCTCCACATTCAAGGCACAGCTACTCCTCAAAGCTGCATTTTCCAAACTACTTCTGTCTTGCAGGGCACCCTTCTCCCCCACTCAGCTCCTTCAGACTAGCCATCAGTAATTAGCAAACACCTGGTGAAACTGCGCATGTGCTCAGCTCATTGTGCGAGCCACTTCTCAGTGAAACGCTGGTAAAAAGACAGAGGCCCAATTTCAAGGTGTGAAAAATGGAAATTAAAATTATTTTGGGTCACAGCAACAGCCGAAGGTAACAGTTACTGGACTATGTCATAAAACAGGACTATGTGTCTAGAAAGCATAATGTTACACCTTCAATAGAACAATCTTACCTAGACAGTTACTGGATTTTTTTTATTGTGTTTTGATTGGATTTGTGCTACACCCTTTCCAGCGCCTCATTCTTCTCACCACTCCTTCCACTGACTTACCAACGACGAAGCAGCAACGAGGGAGGCTGATGGGCGTCCAACCTGGAGACGACGACAAGCCTCAGCAGAAAGCTTCTCCCACCCGGGACGGCTACTTCACTGTAGATGAAAAAGAGTCTCGCTGCTAGAGACTTGAGAGTCGAACTCTTTCTTTCTTCCTCTTTTCCTTTCTCTCGCTCTCCCTTACCTCAGGTGAAGACTTTCAGAGCCACCACACCAATAACTGCACCTCTTGGATCTTCCTCCCTCGTCCCAGTGCCTTGAACAAAACATTCTCCATCCTCTTTTGGAGAGCGTGTCAACATCTCATTTGCCCATGGCAGAGTAATGTGTACATTTGAAAATGTGACCACTATAGGTTCTCAGTGGCAAAGAAATTTGCTTTCTAAGGAAGCCTTTTCATCTGTTATGGACATCTGTAATGTTCAGTTAGTTTGACGCAACATTTTGGTAACTTTCGTTAATTTTTAACTGTCTGGCCTGCAGCAGACGGAGCACAAGAAGTGTCCTGACACTGACTGCAGCGTTCATAAAAAGCTAACTTGAATAATATTGTCGACTTTTTAATTGCATTTTTTAATTATTATTATTAATGCAACATATACGTACGTTTTGGATACAGTTCAGCAGGGATGACTTTTGTCATCTCTGCGGGTTTGGACACTGTCGTGAAAAAGTTTTAAAAGTCTGGAAACCTGGAATTATGGGGAAAAATACAATTCTTTGTCTGAAAATATGGTTGAGGTTTTCAGACTTTATTTCTTTTTGTACCTTTTTCTATTAAACAAACGGACATTTCTGTAAGCAACATGATTTTTACACTGTTTTATATTTGAATAATACACGTTATATTTTATCTGTGATTTTCCATATTGGATTTTAAATTCAAGATGTTTGCCATCACCGACTAGCAGAAGGGGGTAAAAAACACTTTACTGCTTCTTCTCTGAAGGTCAAAAGTGTCAGATTAAATGCCACAGTAAGTCTTAAGCAAATATTTATGGATGCGACCATTTAAATAAATATAACAGGACATTACAAAATAAATAAATATATTTCAGCAATAATTGAATGTTTCTAGATTACAGGAACAAACAACTGCATTTGAAAATGATTAAAGCAAGTATTCTCTAGATTTGAAAAGTGCATATGCTGAATTTTTTATTCGCTGGTTTTTTATGCCAGCGAATTAAGTAAATTTGCTGATCATTGATTAGGAATTTCAAATATGATGAAAAAAAATTATAAATGACAAGATCCATTTTGTCTTATAAATTCTATTTTTACAATTTTATTTAAATAATGACACAAATCGCCATGTCTGTCCGCACATCTTTGCAGGCGACTTCTTCTCATTCAAGTCGGTTTTGATGTCAAACAGTAAAGAATCTGAGTAGAATAGATCCTGATTCACAAATAGGTGTTGAGTTCGAAGTAAAACTGATCTAAGTGCAGTAGTTGTAAAAAAAAAGACAGCAATGAGCCATCGTTTAAAGTGCTTCAAAGTGTCAAAACAAAAAATTGGAAGCCAACATCAGTGTTGTAGTTTTTTTATGCTTTGTGGGGAAAAAAACACCTGGTCTGTACAGGTGTTTTTGAAATGATTGTATTGCACTCCAATGTCCAAAATGTTCTAAATGTAAACATTTGAGCCTACAAAGTGGAAACCTGTGTAGGAACCTTTTACTTCCACACCCTTACTGCCACACTTTTATTTCTTTTTCTTTCTGTCACTTTTTTTTACCGAAGTATACTAATAAGTGCTGCTTGAGAGAACTTGAGGTGAGGAATGTAGCTCAAAGGACCAACCAGATAAGCTGTTTTGTTTTTGTATCCCTTTGTAATACTTTGGGAATACAACTTAATTTTTCACCTGCTTTACTGAACTTTTCAGAGTTGCATGGTTATTTTGTTTGTCCAGTTTTAGCTTAGCTGGGGTTGTCTTGTATCTAACATACAAGGTTTTTTTTTCCATTAAAATGCAAAGGTTCTTAAACACAATGTTGATCTGGGAAAGCTGGTTGATATGTTTCTGAAAAAAATGCCTTATTTGATTACTCTTTCTGGTGCATATGTGAAACCTCCGACTTGGTTCGTCACATGTGGGAATGAATGTACAATAACCGATTACTATACAGAACAATTTGAACTACTTTTCTATTGTGAAATATGTTTTTATGACTGATTAATGTCACCTTAATTTTAAAACAGTGCTTTCAGTTTGTGGGATGTTATTCATTTGATCTTACCTGATTTCATATAACTCTATTGATATATAAAAATAATGAAACAATCTGTTGTTGTAGTTGGAATTTTCTTGTTTGAAGCATAACTTTATGTCTGCATTTTATAACACGTCACTGTGCATTTTAAATCTGTATCATTTAAAGACCTGCTTTACAAAAAAAACACCTTTTGAACGAGTAAATACCTTGTGAAAACAGCCGGGAGTTATTGCTGAGTCACAGGTTGTGTAAAAATACCTGCATGGAAAGTAAGCGGAAAAGACATCACTCTGTACATATTTGAAGGAGTCTGGCAAGATGTACTGGTATAAACAAGGTTGAGTTCTTGTCTATTCTTGTTCCATTGTTTAGATTACTGTTGATTAATCATCAACAAATTTATAAGTTTTTTCTGGAAGATGCTTGCATTTTCTGTCTGACAATCAATACACTGAGAATTTCCTCCTTAAAATTCAACATTATATAATTTCTAATGCAGTAAATCATAAATATAGTTGCTTGCTAGTGTAGAACCAAAATGGCACAAACCCATAAATCATTTTAACTACATATTTATATGAAGCTGTACAGTATATCCTATCATTACACGAGATAAATAAAATATATATAGGCCATACTAAACAATTTAAATGTAATTATTTAGTATAAACATACATTTATCTTACATGTTTACGGTAAAAAGTAAATTAACACATTTTTAATTTAATACACATTAAAATAAAATTAAAGTTTACATACAGTTTGTTTCAAACATTTAAATCAGTCTGTATTCATTTCACGTGTCGTTGGCCAAACACTGACGATAGTTCGTGAAACAGATGGTAAAATATGATTGGTTGACCCGCACGGCAACTCAACCGCAGGCCAATCATCTTGCCTTGAACCGTGTTTGACCCGCCCACTGTTTGAAAGAACGTTGGCAACTCTAAAGTCATTTTCTGTTAATTATTTATTTTGTTTGTTTGCCTTTTAACGGCGTCTTTATGGAGCCATTTCTTTATTAATATATTTTTATTATTATTTTCCTATTAATTTCACATTTTGCTTTTTCAAACCACTAAACCGAGAAGGGTTTTCCCCTTGGACTTGTCCGGCAGGGGTCGCTGCAGTAAAGTTTCTGTGCTCATTACTGTTTACGGAAGTCCTAATGACGTGTCACTGTCCACCAAAGCATTGTGGGAAGGAAAGCAGAGCTGGCACGGCCGTTGATGGCAGACAGATAAATTTAGTGAATATATTTCGGCTTGCCTGTGCGTCGGAGGAAGAGTCGTCGCGAGGGCGACTTCTTCCCGTAGCTAATGCCCGCGTGCTCCGCAGAGGGGGAGCGTATGCGGGCGTCATCGCTGCTGTCCTGCGCACGGGGCGCTCGAAGCGGAGGATCCTGTGTCAATGGACCGCGGCGTTTTTAGTTTCTACAACAAGGGAGGCGAATAAAGCAGCTACGGATCATATCCCCGCGGTGAATGGGTGGGGGGCGACTGCGCTCCGACGCCGCTCGTAAACGTCAACCGTTCCTGTGAGGATCTGTGTCGAAGACGCCGTCAAAGATGTCGACCAGCAGCCCCGAAGCGGTGAAGAAATTGCTGGAGAACATGCAGACGGACCTGCGGTCTCTCTCCATGGAGTGCAAGAAGAAATTCCCCCCTGTCAAGGAGGTTAGTTTGGGCTCGTAGCCGAGAGCCGCGCCGCGCTAAAGCTTGTGAACTTTATGTATGTGAATATTGTGCCTTTTTTTGTTTTTGTTTTTTTCTGGATGTTGTTTCGTCTCCGCTCCAACCAAACGGCCTTGTTGTGTTTGCTGTGGCCACTGACAGCTGCTCACAAAAGTTGTTCCTATGAAAAACTATCACCGATGTTTACTGGCTCCTCCACAAGTAGTACTTTGGTTCTTTAGGTATTTCTTCTTCATTTATGGCTATATTTGGGTTGAAAATATTCATTAAGACGGTGAAAAAAACATCTATTTCAGGAGTTCAATAAAAACAAAGCTTAAACGTAAAAGGATTCAATTAAATTGAGTATAAGTTTGAACATTTTATCCTTAACTTTAACCTAATTGTTTTTGATGGCAATATGTCGAAGTGGCTCTGTCAGGTTTGGTTTTGTTCTCTTTGTAGCCTTTGGTTTATATTTTATTGGTCGAGGTGATGCATGTTTGCACAGTTATCCCCCCTTGTTTTTGATGCTGTGCAGTGGGACGGATTGTCGCTCTTATTTCTGGACAGTAATGGGCTACAAGGTATTGTTTTTGCAACTTAGTAGCAGCAAGTTTAGAGAATGTGTTCTCTGAATCAAAACAGGCAGAGATCATATTCACAACGTCACACATTTAAACAGGAAACGGCAAAAGCAAACGAGGTGGATCAGCGGTCGTCCAGGACATGTTAATGTGGGACATTGTCATCGCTGCCTGGGAATTGAGTTGTCATGATGCTGCCATACTGCAACAGTCTTCAGTCAGAGGCCTCTTCAGATTCGCTGCATGACTGGCTTCTACTGGAGTGCCTAAATGCCTGCAGCATCACCATCCATAATCACTCTTTCAGATATGAGTTTCAGCAGGTTTTAGTTTCCCTTTGGAATAAATAAAGTTGAATTGAATTATCAAGATCCCTAAATTGTAACATCTTCCGTTATGATTTGAAAATGTAACTGTGTTTTCTTTGAATCATTCACCCAAGATGATTGGGTCACTGCTTCTCTTTACTCTATTTATTTAGACAGTAACTGGCATTTTGTCCTCCAGGGCTTTCCATAGTCACCTATTCTGACACACTGACTTCATTTAGACACATTTTGAATAGTCTATTTTAGCTCTTGCCATGACACTTCAGTTTAATTCAAATCTGGAGTTTGGCTTAGTCAAAACCTGAATTTCTTGTCTCATTCTGCTGCACAACCCAAGCATGCTGAAGCTCAAGCATGCTGAAGCTCAAGGTCACAAGCCGACGGACGGATTTTCTCCTTCAGGACTTTCAGGTCAAGAGCAAAATTTGACTCAGTCATTCACTGCACGCCGTCCAGGGAATGAGACCATCCCACTGCAGCCACCGTTTCCGACTGACCTTTTGATTTTCTTTTTCTGAAATGCTTAGTCTTTGTATTAGATCAGATGTAGCAGGGAACGTTCCACTTTTATTTTTTTACTTATTTAATTGTTTGGTGTTTGTTTTTTTTTTTCTTTTTGCAAATCCCCAAAACATTTTCCCAAAAGTCTGGATCCCATGTCAAAAATTTTATATTTCAGCAACAAGTTCCAGATTTAAAAAACAGGAAAACGCCTTGAAACAGAAGCTGGTTTAGATAGCAAGACACGGCAACAATAGTTTTTTTGAAGATTAAAACGCAGTTCTTATTGTAGAACGTTTTCATACATCATTAACATATAAAATATCAACAGTAGTTCACTGTTGATATTTTACTGTTACATTGTTGATAATTCACAGACAAATAGCTTAGAGTTGGGTCGCCTGATTAGGTCCTTTCAAAATGTTTTCCTCGCCGTTTTGGAGTAGATGTGGCATTTTTGTGGACAAACATCAGAGGAGGCCCAGAGTCATGATTCACACATGGATCTGACCTCATCCAAGGAAAGTCTGAGATGTCTTATTAGGATGGAGCAGAAAGGAGCTGAGGAAAAAAAAGAAGAAGGAAAACTGTGTTTTCAGGAAGAAATAAAAAAGATAATTATATATTTTGTGCTTTTTCTAAAATCACATGTTCTGAGGAAAACGAGCAGGAGAAGGAAATGAGTGTTGAGCAGGATAGACCAGGTATGTAGATGAAATGCAACGTCTCTGTCAACATGCTCTGATTCTCCAAGATCTGACATGGTCCCCTTCGCTGTGGCAATCCCTGAAGGAAACAGCCCATAACTGTGGTACGGATGAGCAGAGTAATAACCACAAGTGAGAGAAAACAATACATTGATTAACAAAAAATGACAGTAATAATCATGAAACAGCAGCGATTAGAATAAATAACCAGATTATGGGTAAACCTTGATGAACGCCAAGATTTTTTCGAGAACCACCGAACTGACAACCCTTTTTAACACAGCTTTACATCATGACATAGTTTTTCAGATTGTTCTTTGTTATTAGAAAAAAGAAATAGTTTAATTGTGTCGCATTGAAATGTTAAAAAAAAAAAGGCTATAAATCTCTTAAAGTCAGATTTTTGCAGATGTTGGTAACTTAACACTGTCCCAGATCAATTTTGCTGGACAATAAATTGTCCTAATATTGCTGTTTTGAGAGCATTTCACCTAACATATCGACAAAGGTAAAATAATGTAAGTTCACTCTGTCAAAGACTGATAAACTTACATTTTGTAAAGAATGCATCACACTGGAACTGGAAGATATTTGAAATGTCCGAAATAAAACTCAACAACCAAAAACAATGAATAGACTGGAAAATTTTAAAAATACACAACAGAAACCATAAAGAAAATAGGTTATGAAGTCTTTGTTAAACAAAATTGCCATTAAAAAATTGTTAATCGTCAAAATGGAAAATATAATTGAGCTCATTTTAATTTATTGGACTTTAAAATCCAGCATGTTATCAATTCATCAGTTTTGAACAATTTATTTGCACTTTTGTATCCAAGTCAAGCCTTTTGTCATACATACTTACTGTGGTTCTTAACTTTTCCTTTTGGTTGAAGTGAAGATCAGTTTGCTTGAATAATTTATCCCGCTAGCTGAATTGAAGTTAATCTTGAAAGAGTTCAGTTGCTTTGTGTTTATCTCAGAGTTGCGGCCAAAATAACTGCAACCCGGATAACATCGCTGGTATTTGTACCACAGTTTGAGGTCCATGACCTCTGGCGATTCAGACCTGTGTACACTACTGAGCTCTGTAATATGTCAACAAGGTAAAACTAGTAAAAAAAAAAAAAAAGTCTTAAAAATCACAATCACCTCCACTTTCACTAGATGGGTGTTAATTTAGCTGCTGTTTTTTCAGTCAAACCATCTCCATGTTGCCAGAAGCTGTCAGCTGCACCATTCTGTCAAATTTAACGGTCTCTCCTGAATGTGGAGGCGTTTATTATTATCCACTAATACAGCAGTGTAGAAGTGGACCAAATGTATCTACTTTTTTACAAACTTACTGGATCATAAATTCTTGTTTTTTTTGTTTGTTTTTTTCTCCCATAAGTAGAGGGACTTTTTCTGATCATGTTATCTGCAGAGCTACACTTGCAGATGACCCAACTTGTTAGGCATCTCAAACAAACTCAAAATGTTTCTCTATCAAGAACCAAAAGCACCAGGGTTGTTTTCAGTCCGGTTGACTCGATTAGATTGGGGACCAAAATTGAAACCATGTTTCATTTTCAGCAGATGGGATTCGTTTCACACTGAATCGTGTTACAAACCAAATGGTTTGAGCTGCCTGTTCTCCCTCCTCCCCTGTGGTGGCGCTAAACCAAGAACTACTGAAGGAAATGCTTCCTTTTTCACTAAAGGTGAACAATGAGTTTACGGCAGTTGTGAGTTTTTTTTTTTTCTTCTTGTCTTTGGTGAAAGACCACAAATCATTTTTCCATTTAGCGTTAGCCTTTCATGTTTGCTTAGGTTGAATTTACCCAGAATACTATGCGCTATAGTTTGCTTCCTGTATTTGGAGCAATCTAAGGCCCGCTTGCATCCACATGCTTGCATCGAACTAAGTTCAATCGAACCAATACCTAGGTTTTTTTTTTTTCAAATTGTTCAATAATACACAAAACATATTCTTTTGGTGTGCAAAGTATTAGGAAAGGAAGCCCTCTCCATCCATTTTTAGCTTCGATTAGAATATTTCCCTCTGGAGTACAATCAGTTGCTTGTTGAACTGATCCAATTCAAATGACGTTGTCCTGTTCTGTTATTTTAGTTTAACTGCGTGCAATTAATCGCGTGACAGTGATCAGGTTGTTCCGCAAAGGGCAGACGGGAAAATGTTTGTCCATCGGCTCAGTTTGTCTGTTTGTCCTTTTCTCCAGTCGCTTAACCCTGGAGAAAGATAACATCCAAATGAGAAAAAAACAGATGGGGAAGACATTTCTCCGGCTGCGTGTTCAGCGCCTAAACATGAGAGATTGATATGTTAATAGGGATTGCTGCTGCGGTCAAACTGGCCCACAAACAAGCGGCTGTTTTTACATCTCCTGTTGGCTCTGTGGTTTTGCCTCAGGTCATTATCAAGCCACTGCCTCAGATATTGATTTGTTTATAATCCTCAGTGTGTTCTGGTCCTTACAAGCTTCCTTTCCACACGTGTAAAAGCCAGCAATCCGGAGATTGTCTTTGGTTGACTTAAACTTGTCCTCACATATATTATTCATTTAAAATAATTGACGTGTTGCGTAACAAGCAGGGAAGCTCTTTCTGCACCACATGGTTGTAGTGGATATTTAGCAAATAAATTAAAATTTTCCAAAAATGGTACCATGTTGCTTGTCTGAGCCATTTAAAGCTGTAAGAATTAATTGACTTCACTAAATTTCCAATTATGAACAGATTTAAAGCTTATATTACATGAAAAGCATTGTAATTGTGAAGTAGGAGGGAAAATATATATAAACTCTGCCACAGATTTTGTCAAATTTATATGTGATCTTTGAGTGAGTCATTCTATAACATGTATTTGCTTTGAAGCTGTTTGGACGTGACTTTGGTACAGAAGTGATTAGCGGCCATAGCTTAGAAATAAATTCAGCAACAGTGTCTCGTTCTTACGAATTGCAAAAGTTGTTAAAACAAGAAATTTTGTAATTACAGTAGTACAAGTTTTATCACTTTTTCACCAGAAATCTTCTCGGTAAAATTAGAAAACTTTCTCGCTCTAATGACATGCAAAGCGAGAGTTTCTTGTTTTAACGAGATATAAAAAATACTCTCCTGACAGATTACATGTTATAAAGAAGTTTATGGGTTTTTCAATCATTGTGCAAACATAAAAAAAAAACCTTCGTAGTCATAAGTTCTAAAAACCACTAACTAATCGCAATAAACTTTGATTTGTTGTGACGTTAAATTCCAATTTATGACGTTTAAAAACCCTCAGCACTGTTTGCGTTGTCAGAATTATTATTTTCCCTTTTTGCTCCAGTGTTCAGTAGAAATAAATGAGGAAAATATGATCGAATGAAGTAACCATGTGCAGCTTAGTGATACAAATCACAATTCTTTATGTGACTGGAGTCCTAAAAAAGCCAGATTTCTCAATCTGTCAGCCACAGTCATGTTGCACCACAGTGCAGGAGTTTCCTAAAAGAACAGATTTCTTTTTTTTTCTCTAGCATTATGTCCAGGACCAGAACGTGAAACAACCTTTGCCTCAGAATTAAAGAACTTATAAAACAACTGAGCTAAATACGTTGCAAGCACTTGAAGAGTTCATCAACGCATTTCAAGCGACTTTTGGGATTTGACGGTATGACTCTGAAGGTCTGACATTTCTCACAGCCTGCTAAGTCAGCTTGTGAAAAGCGCTGACCTGTGCAGGCGGCGCGGACACACTGCTGCAGAGGACGGCCCCGGCGAGCGACACTGCCGCTTTTTGTGATGCATCTGGTCTGCAGATGTGGGTCAGTTCCCCTTTAAGGGTCTCTAGTCTAAAAAGACTTCTTAGGAGAACTGAAAGCATTGATGCTTCCTGATTTGTTTTCCACACTGCATTGCATCGTCTGTCCATGTTTACGTTTCGGAAACTTACAGCCGTTTTTGTGAAAATGTAAAATGGGCACCGATAATTGACACAGAACATAGTTTAATATGCAGGCAACATGAGGTTCCACTTAGGATGTTAGATTTATTTCTTGTTTGTGAAAGCAGCACCGCTACTAAATTGCACTCAGATGTTTAAAGAAGGTTTACGAAAGCTTTTTGGTACAGGAACGTCTCAAAAAAAAAGAAAAAAAGATTAATTTAAAAGTTCATTTCCCTAAGGAAACTCATAAACACTGTATTTATACAAACTTCAAATATATTTTTTATAATTTTGATAAACATTGCGTACAGCTAATAAAACCCAAACCGTAGCTACTTGGTAAAGAACAATATCACATTATTACCATAACGAGTTTATTCTTTCAGAAATGGGACTTTGCAGTCTACACCAGGGGGGTCCAAAGTGTGGTGGAGGGGCTATTTGCAGCCCTCGGAATAACTTTGTGTGGCCTCCTGCTGTAACTTGGACTGCACTTTGCCTTTCTTCTCTTCAGGCACTTGCCTTAACACTGACAGCTCGTTGCAACACCGCTGTACCGAGGAGGAGGCTGGTGAGGAAGGAGTGCAGGATTTTTCCATAGATTAACTTTCAGCAGGCCCGGCCTCGGTTTGGGTTAAAAGCCCAAGCTGCTGATCAGGCTTTGCTTGGTGACAAACACAGCTTGGCAAATTATGAGTAGCTGCTCTCCACATTAACTTGATCTTGCAGTTAAGTGGAAAGTTGTTGGTGCGATACAGCAGCCATGTTGTCACCTCTGAGTCAAAGCGTAGCATAACTCTAAACCACTTTGAAGTGCCTTTGTTCACTTTGTGGGCAACATTTGTTTTCTTCTACTTGCGTTATTTAAATTGACTTTCAAAAGTATTCATACATTTTAATGTGCAACAGTGAAAGATGAACACTTTAAAAATGATGAGAGGAAGTAGTAATACTGAAGCTGCCACCTAAAGAAAATACACAGGTTGGACAAAAACAAACACCGGTCGCTAACTTTGCATTTTGGCTGTTGCATAAAGATAAGGAAATCCTTATTTGAAAGCTGTCAGCACTCTCATTTTTACTGTCTCCTTGCGTCCAGTCTTTTCTTCGACACCCCCTTATTTTGTGTTCGTAGCTGACAGACATCCCACAGGGGAAATCAGTTCCGAGTAGCTCATCTCACCGAGGCCAAGGCCTCATCTGGCCGTATTTACCAACACTTTCTGACGTCTCACTTTCTGTTTTCCTCTAGGCTGCAGAGTCTGGCATTGTGAAGATTAAAACCATCGCAGCCAGGAAAACAGACATACTGGCAGGTAAGCTGTGTTACATGGAAGGTGAGGGGGACACAAAAAATCTCAAAAATCCTTTTTATTGACGATTGTGGGCTGAGAATTATTCAGTGTATTAACAGTAGCATACTTTATTTATAAAATAATGCTACCAAGGAAAAAACTTGATTGCAAAAGCAATTAAAGATGGACAAAAGCCTGAAGAACACCACTTAGGAGATACATTTAAGAGAGGTTCAGTTTGCAATTACTAGTTGACACCAGACTAAAGGTTAAAAGGTCATATTCTTGTAGTCCAGATTTATGGCCCTTTCAGACTGACGTTGAGTGCAGTGCTGCCTGCTGCAATGATGCATCTAAAACCCAACTAAGAATAATGGCAGCATATCGAATTCCTTTCTCTTTTACCAAACAGATTTTCTTGGTACACATCAGGGTAATGTGCACCATCCTACAAGAAGATATTTACTGTTTATATTTACTGAATATTTAATTTAGCTGTAAGGAGATGTTGAGTTAAAACTCAGTCAAAGCTTTGAGTTGCACTCGGATGTCATCATCGTATTTTGGGACATGAGACAGTTCAGGCTAGTGGAAAATGGCTGCTAGCATACCCTGACTAGCTAACTAGCCTTTGGGTTCTGTGACTCAAGGCTACCTGTAACTCACTGCTCACTTACCTTTTCTAGCTAGCTAGCTTTTTTGCATACATTATAGGTAAGTGTAAATTGATAATCAGTTGACTGGACAAAGTTTGTACATTTCTATACAAAGACATCTTAAATCCCATGCATCATAATCTTAAAAAGTCCTAACCTGCAGAAACCCTGCTCTAGCGCTGATCTTTTGCGGCCTTCATTCAAGTCTTCTTAGTTGCCAAACTCCTCTGGTTTGCAGCATTTTCATGTGCGGCAAATGAACTGCATTGTGCTTTTCTACATGTACAAACCCCTCAAAGTGCGCTGAAGTAATATCCACACATTATTTCTGCAAACCAGAGGGTGTGAGGTCACGGTGTCACCTATTCGCGAGATAACTCCTCTCCCTCGCTGATCCACGCCCACCCCCCTCATGAATAGAAAATTGTTTTGGTACATTCCTCAACAAATCCAGCTTTTTATGATTTCCAGTAGCGAAGCATAGCTGGCATTTTCTGAGTGAACAGAGCAGCCCCTCTGTAACTGTACACTGTGCAACTATGACACTCTGGTCGTTACAGAGTCTGCATGTGTTTTTGGATTTGAAACAGTTACTGTTCTGTTATCCTAAGTAGGATTTCAAAAGAATTGTCTTTTATTCCAGAGTTAAAACTCAACAGATGTTGTTAGAAAACAAAAATATGACATGAATTAATTTAATTCTGTAAATTATCTGATTTCAAAGACTATTCCCACTGATCAGAATTTTGGAGCCAATTTTCTATCATCAGCCTTTCACCTGCTTGATGTAAATTTGCTCCATTTTTTATTTCTCTTTAGGAGATGTAGTGCTTAAATAGCTTATTTCCTTAACCAAATCTGAAATTGGATAACTTGGAGTCTTCACTCAGTAATCGCTTCCTCATAGAAAAGCTTTGTTGGAGCGTTGATCCGAAATAAGAAAGTTTCTGAACAGCTAAATTACAGATCTAACTAAAAAATGTTTTCCCGATTCACGTTACCATCCGTTTTCTACGAGTGTTTCCTCTTTCAAAATAGATGCTTCAAAAGTTTTTGTTCTTAGTCCTTTTATAAAGTTATGTTTGTAAATTAACATTTACGCTTTGATGCTTTTTACTGGAGTAAATCACACGACAGTACCCTTCTGCTATAACCTGACATTGCTGATTTCTGTCTCTGGTGTTTTGCTACAGCACTGAAGGAGAACAGCTCAGAGGTGGTGCAACCTTTTCTGATGGGCTGCGGCACCAAAGAGCCAAAGATCACCCAGCTGTGTCTGGCTGCCATTCAGAGACTCATGTCTCATGAGGTAGTGTCTGAGGTAAGGACAGAGAGCAAACCCAGGGACTCAAGCAGCTGACGTCAACAAAAAAATGTTCATGTGCATAAACAAATACACTAAGAGAAAAAAGTCAAATTTTACAAGCACAGAAAAACCTCTTGTTGCTTCTCGTTAGGTTTTGTACTGATTCATGAGCGTCTCATGTTTTAGTTTTTATTAAACCAACCCAACTAGATAAGCAATCAAGATTTTTCTTTCAGTTGCTATTTTAGGAATATGCCAAAGTTTGATTTTAGGATTCACCTATGGTTGGTTGGCTTGTAAATGAACCCTGTGGATCTAAAATATTTCTATCACCATTAATTATTATATAACAATGTTATCTGTACCTTTCAGTTCAGTTAACTTTGATTTATTGGTCATGTAAATATTATAAGTGCATGAGTTAACTTCTTTTTTGTAAATGTATGATAATCAGCTAGCCTTATTTGTGTCTGTCGTTGGTAAGTGCAAATTTATTGCCAGTTGGCCAGATGAAGTTGTGGAGATATAGGTCTTAAATTGCATTTATAATGGTCTTAGAAAGTCCTACATTTGAGTTGGTGAAACTAGCAGAAACCCTGATAATGTATATTTTGACTTTTCAATTTGATTGAATTGTCTTTAAACTAATTCCCTAAGAATCATCGTTTCAGCACAGCTGCAGTCAGAACAAGACGTGCTTTTTCATGGTTTTAAGGCTAGGAACTTAATTTACCTTTGACAATAAATACGTTATTGATATTTCACTTTGAGCCTTGAGTGGAGGCAAAAATACAACACCTGTAACACTTGAACATAGCTTCATTATTGACTTCTAAAATCAGTGCAGCTTATCAATAGCGACATGTTTCGTATCACAAAGCAGCTCGCCATTTCTTAATTTCCCAATTATTTTCTTTTTTTCCTTCCTCCGTAGCCGAGGAAACCGCTGGCTGAGAAAGTGCATGAGCCTCTTTGCATGGTGCGGGCACAGTTACAAAAAAGCAGAGGAAGTCATGTGGAGTAAGATGTGAGGGGGAAGGGGGATGACTTTAATAAGTTCTTAAATTAATTTGAAGTTCAGCATAGGCTTATCAGATGGGTGAAGACGGTCTGAATCTTTAAATAGCTGAGCTGCCGGTATGCTGGTGCCCCGAAGCTTCACGTCTGGCTTGTTAATTCACCATACAAAGCTGCTATTAAAAGCTTCCTGAGGTCTACATTCTGACATGAGGCCATGATTTCATTAATCTGAAACAGTTCCTGAAGCGTTTTGACTGATGTATAACCAAAAAAGAAAAACATACCGTAGTTTTATTGTTTATTTATTTATAATCAAATAGTTCAATATGCAGGGCTTTCCAAAAGTATTCAGGTCTCGTTCCATTTTTAATTTTTTTAATTTTTTTTTAGTTTCGTGTTTTACACACTACAATGTTGGCATGATTTTATATTAAATTATTATTTTTTTAAAGTTCAGACTTTAGAGTGATGCAAAATAGTAAAAACAAAGCATTTGGACCTGCCGTTTTAATTTTTATTCAGTGAATTGACGTGTTAATCGAAGCAATTTTTTTATTTAACATTAATCTGTTCATCTCATACAAAACATCTACCAATATCCCTTGTGAAGTTGTAGGTTTTCTAACATTTTTCTTATAAATGTTTTGCCTACTTTTTCTCTCCAGCTACCAAATACTAAACTTATTTGGAAGATTCTGTCTTTTTAGAAATAATAACAGTGAGCAAACTAAAACCTCCTTATACCAAACAGATGTTTTGTTCTGTTCATTGTTCAGGGCCTCATGGGACAAAGCCAAGCTACATCTCAAGGTGCCACTCAAGAAGTTTTGATCTTACTTTTGACATTTGGAGACAATGAGACAGCAATCTTAAGGGAAGAACTGGAGTCAGATGAAATTTCTTAACAAAAATACCTTGTAATTGGGCAGCAGATGCTCTGAATGAGCTATTAATGCCAACACCTAATAAGGCATCTGGTTGGTACAAGACTGAAGCAGCACCGTCATCGTCGTCATATTGAGACAGCTGCCTCCTGCAGCAAACATGTCTCATCCGGAGAGAAATGTGTATCAGAAAGGCAGGCTGTCACAGTTTGAATGACAAACCCCTGAGGAGAATGAGGGGGAAGAAAAAGGTCAGGCGAGCTGCAAAATGAAAAACGGGAAGTTTACCACTGAAGGTAAACACACAGTTTTTGTAAATAGAGACGCACAGATATTCCTATCTAACTTCTGATATTGATATCTAAATTTTTATATCGGCTGATATCGATCCGATGGAGAGAAACAAAATTGAATTGATTAAAATCTTTTTTATATAGAGACAAACATAACGCTGCACCACAAGCTTGGTCAAATATGTAAAAACACAACTTTAATTTGTTCAGTCAGTGCCACAACTAATGTAAAATAAATGTTAAGGAAACAGAAATGGACAAAAACAAAAGGTTGACTACCTTGATCAAACATCAAACCTTCTTTCAAATGGTTCATAAAGTGCGTTTAGCAATGCTAAATATAATGTAAAATAAATAATTAAGCATGACATGAAATCAGAGAATTAGACACAATAGATATACCATCATCGATTGGGCACATTGCATTAACTCCTGATCTAGAGTCGTTTTCGATATCTGGACTGATTAAAAATTATCTGGAAGCTGATGTTTTCATAGTAGAGATGCTATGAAAACATCATGCTATGTTTTCATAGCAAGCTATGAAAACATAGCATGCTATTTTATTTATATTTTATTTTATCAAATAAAAATATAAATAAAAATTTATATTTTTATTTGGTAAAAATATAAATTTTCATTCCACGCAGGAGAAACAAAAAAATAATCTTGATCTGATATTTATTGATCGAAATAAATAGACTAAACTTGAGGATACCTTTAATAGAGAATGCTTCAAAAGGAAGCACAAAGAGGACGCTAAAAGGCAAAGGTTGATGTTTGTATTTTTTAAAGGCTTACAGCTTCACTACATCCACCGTCGCCTCCAAACAATATCAGAATGCTGTTGTATAACTTCAACATGTCGATCCATCATTTACCCTCCAACATATCATTTCCTGTTCTCCTTTTAGTGAAGTATCGGTGTTCATTTTGTATTTCTTATCTTTTTTTTTTTTTTTTTTTTGAGGACCAAACTCCAAACCCAGTGTACTTTACTGTGTGTAGTGCATCATTGTGGTATATTGTGTTAAAATTTTCAATCTATGCATTCAAAAGAATGCTTCAAAAGGAAGCATTCTCATTTGGGTTTTGAGATCGATCATTTAATTGGATCTCACAAAATATATATATTTACATAGACTTTAAAAAAAACGTGTGTCAAATAAAACACTTGCAGTGTCACTTGGTGTCAGCATCAGCTTTTACAGATGGCTAAATCTGGAGTCTGATGTTTTGTTGCTGGCGTCAGGAAGCAGCTGCTCCCACTATTGTGTCTCTGCTGAACATGGCGGGTTCTGCATAAAGCGTGCAGCCAGTGTGTTTGCACCGAAGTGTAACGTTTGCTCTGGTTCTTTTTGTGCATGCGCCAGGCGGCTGCAGGGAACATCATCAACATGTTGTGGCAGCTGATGGAGAACGGTTTGGAGGAGCTGAAGCTCTTACAGACGGTACTGGTCCTACTGACCACCAACACGGTTGTTCATGATGAAGTCCTCTCAAAGGTAAAAGGTCAACACAATCATGACATAAGCGTGCTTCTTTTACTCTGCCCTGATGTGAAGGTGGCGTACCTTATCTTGAATGAATTGTGATGTGCACAATTTTCACTTTCATTCTCAACTTAGTCATCAGTTGCCAAAACTGTTTTGATAATTAATAGAATAAATATAGCTTTTTGAGTTTTTGGTGTCTGTCCCTTTAAGTACTCAATTTAGGCTCTAAATTTATTCTAAGCATGAAGCTTAAATTCATGCTGACTATAAGTATTAGCACCATGCTAAAGATATTCATCCATTCATTGTCCAGCTTTTCTTTTTTCCGTCAGTCTGTCCGTCCATCCATCTTTTCTTTTATGTAGCTGTTGGCCATCCATTCATCCGTCTTTATTTCGTCCATCTTTTTTATCGTCCATTCATTTTGTCTTTTTTTTATCGTCCATTCATTTTGTCTTTTGTCCATCTACACGTTTTCTTTCATCCATCCGTCACTTCATCCAACTTTTCTGTAGTCTGTCCATCTGTTCATCTGTTCATCCATCTTTTCTTTCTGGTTGTCACAACCTTTAGATGTGACAACCAGTTGTTTGGTGTGAACCCAGGAAAATCAAACATTTCTGAGTTTGATGCGTGGCGCCACAAATGCGCGGTACCACTTTCCTGGAAGTGCTAAAGTGGTGTAGCTCTGATTAGGTTTATGCATTGATGTACATATTTCACGTGTCTGAAGAGTCTCCCGCATCGTTTTCAGGCCATCGTGTTGTGCTTCCGTCTCCACTTCACCAAGGACAACATCACCAACAACACGGCGGCCGCCACCGTCAGACAAGTCGTCACCGTCGTCTTTGAGAGGATGGTCGCCGAAGACGAGAGATTCAAAGGTCTGCATGATGAAAAAAACGAAGTCAGAACAAAGATACAGTTTCAGATTTGCTATTGTCGTTGCTTTAAAGAGACATAGCTCTGAATTTTAACATTTTGTTTTTCCTGCTTGGATCTAAAAGCGGTGGTGGCTTAAACATTGTAAACATGTTTTGTATCTGGACTAAAGGCATCGCAGAGCAGCCTCCTCCCGTCCAGGGAAACACCAACCGGCGCTCTGTCAGTACCCTGAGACCCAGCGCCAAGGACGCTTACATGCTGTTTCAGGTTTGTCCACCAGGAGGCAGCAGTCCTCCACCCACCTCTCTGTCAGGAGTGTTTGAGATTATCTGTGTTCTAAAGAAAGAAGTCAAAATGTCTAATTTTACCATCATAATTATGTGGATCTTAGTCTTGTCAGAATTTCCTCAATGGCTCCTTGTTTTCTTACGCTCTGCCTGTTATTGCTTACCCACAATGCCTCTCTGTGTGTGAGAATCTTTATTCTCCCACCAGAGCTAAGTCAGTGCACTGTTTCTGCAAGTTGGATACAACTCTCTATTGTACTGGATGCTTCTGCTCGCAGGACCTGTGCCAGTTGGTGAACGCTGACGCCCCCTACTGGCTGGTGGGAATGACAGAAATGACCCGAACGTTTGGCCTGGAGCTGCTGGAGTCGGTTCTGAACGATTTCCCCGGTGTTTTCTTACAGGTACGCACTCTCTCTTATTGTGCTAAATAAAGATATTACCTCTGTGTTTCTATATTGATTTTGTTCAATGTCTCCCAAAGCACCAGGAGTTCAGCTTCCTGCTGAAAGAGAGGGTGTGCCCTCTTGTCATCAAGCTCTTCTCGCCCAACATAAAGTTCCGGCAGGGCACCGGCGCCGCCGCTCCACCAGCACCCGTGGAGAAACCCTATTTTCCCATTTGCATGAGGCTGCTGCGAGTGGTTTCAGTCCTCATTAAACACTTCTATAGCTTACTGGTAAGGGTTTACTAAACCTGATCCTAGATGAATTATCTCTTTGCATATCATGATCCTTATTCACTCATGTCTTTGATTTTTGATAGAAAGTACAACATAAGCTCTTTAAAAAAGCTAGAATTTGGACCTGTTAATTTAAAAGTTCTAAATGCGGTCAGCATTGTTTGTTCCATCAGTTTCTGTGTTATACATCTGTCCACCTTGATAAGGAACAGTTCTGCATTAGAAGCCCAAAATGAATGCAATGAAGGATGAATGAATGTAAATATTGGTGATCTTAGATGAATTGATGTGTTTTAATTCCTCTAAAACCAGTGATTATGTATGAAATGGTCCTGTTTGTCTGTCTGTTTCACAGGTGACTGAATGTGAGATCTTCCTGTCTCTGCTGGTGAAGTTTCTTGACGGGGAAAAGCCTCAGTGGCTCCGAGCCGTTGCTGTAGAATCAGTCCACAGACTGTGTGTGCAGCCACATTTACTATGGTGAACACACGTTTATTTATACGCGTTCACTTATTTCATTTAAATTTATCCTGTATCTTATCTGATCTGACGATCAGTGGGGAGTCCAAAGGGTGCCAAGGCCCCATCTTGAAAAAATGTCCAGGTTATAGAAAGGCACAGTCATTTTCTTCAATCAAAATATTAAAGTAAAACCCAATAAATAAATTTCTTTTTTTTTTCTTATTTCATTTTCATATCCTCTAGAATTCACATTTTGCTCAATTGCCCTTGTTTTGTGTGTTGTTAACAAGGCGTTTTGTTTCTTTTCCCTTCTCCAGTTCTTTCTGTCAGTCTTACGACATGAAGCAGCACTCCACCAAGGTGTTCAGAGATATCGTTAACGCTCTGGGATCCTTCATTCAGTCCCTGTTTATTGTCCCAAACGCTGGCAACGCTGCTGCTGTCAGTGCGCCTGCTGGTTAGTTACCTTGATGGATGGGTTGGTGCTGAATATTAGAGAAAAAAAAAAAAAACGTGTTAAAAGGCCTTTGAATGCTATTCATCTTATAAAATAAATGTAGGTGCATTTTAAATGTAAAATCTGTTTGAAACAGTGAAATGCTTCAAATAAAACTGGTTTTGTAGGATGTACATGGTTTAAAAAAAAAGTTTTTCTATTTTCTTCACTCTTCCTCTAGGTGGGTTGGGTTCAGGGACGCAGGGCACGGCTCAGGCTGTTCCGGGCACAGGAGGGGGCGGCGGCACCTTGACTACACAGGCCGCGTTTGAATACCGCGGCACCTGGATCCCCCTCATGACTGTTAGTGTCCAGGGCAGCGCCAAGGCCACCTAGTAAGGGTTTCCCTTCATGTTTTACTCAAATGTTCATTTTACGTTTGAAACTGACAACATATGCTCTGTACAGATATTATTTATGGTTATAGTGAAACTCCACTAGTAGAGTAGCGGACAATTGAATATTTCAGCAGAATCTTTTACAGGTGGATACAAGAACCTAACTAGCTACGGCAACTATACAAATCTTTATGCTTGTGTCCAGATTTGATTTTTTTTATTTTTACAGTATTATTCTGCACTAAATTACTAATTAACCACAACAGATTAACAGATTTGCTCTAATCAAATCAAGAGTGATTTCAGATGTTTAGAATTGTCACATTTGATTCGGTCTTGACGTTCTCCCCCACCTAGTTTAGAGATGTTGGACAAGGTGGAGCCTCCATCCATCCCAGAGGGCTACGCCATGTCAGTGGCCTTCAGCGCCTTGCTGGACCTGGTGAGGGGCATCACCTCCTTGATCGAAAGAGAGCTGACCGCGGAGGAGGAGGCAGCTGCAGAGTTCAGGGAGACTCACCCTGAGCAGGAATGGAAACCAGAGCCAGGTAGGAAGAGTCACTGGAAAAGAAGGAAAATGAAGCTTCTTCTAATATTTGTGTTAAATGTGACGACTAAATGTGGACAGCAGTGTTGTAGTGCTGGAGAATGGTCTTGGTTTCGAGACCATTTGGTGATTTGGTCTCGGTCTCGCCTCGGTCTCAGGCGTTGAGGACTCTGGATTTTATTTCAAGACCAGTCAAGTCTGTAACTGTGGAAATTTCACTGAACTTACAGCATGCTGTCCAGTTTATTTGTTAACATGTTTGTTTTCACTGCATGCAAACGGCGCAGATTAAAATCCAAGCAATAATTATCTATTATGTGTTTGTTACTTTCCCCGACCCCTCCCCACCTTTCACTCGCACGCGGCGCTCTAAGACATGCGCAGTGGTTTCCTTTGAGCGGCAGAAGATGTCTGTCTAATCATCAGTAATAGAATTATGTTTATCCAAAAGTCTGCAATATAGTGATGAGACTCTCACGAACGATCCAAGTCTTATGAACTCCTCTTTACTAAGAAGACAGGACTGGAGCCTCACTGAGAGCCATTCTTTGTTCTTGTAATGCTCAGTGTACACTGCAGTAGCTGTCATTATTTTATTTAATTATACACGTTGATGTTTATTTAATTCCCAGAAATATAAAACACAAGAACGAAAGAGCACACACATTGCTCATTGATTGTTTCTAAAAGTCTTAGTCTTGTCTTGGTCTCGGGTTAGGAGGTCTTCACTACAACACTGGTGGACAGGTAGAGTTTTGGCTAAAAGGTTTCAACAAAAGGTTCAGTGACCTTAGATTGCCAGTAATATGCGTGTATGACTTTGAGTGGCATATGAAATATAAATACAGACATCTCTTAATTTCCAAAAGCAATTAAAAGTCCATTTAGCGTCTAATTTTTTTTTTTCAGGGGCCCACTTGGTTTGGGAGGAGATGGTCAACGCCAGCTGGTGTGGTCTCCTGGCTGCCCTGTCTCTGCTGCTAGATGCAAGGTGAGAAAAAAAATATTAGTAGTAATTCAAACAGAAAATCATCCTCACATTTATTATCAAGCTATATTTGTATAGCTTGATAACGCTTCCTGACATTCAAAAGTGTCACATCAAGGGATTTAATCTGCAAGATCATCACTGCGTAGTGCATCATTTTATAGAGAAATGTAAAAGCCTTTCCCTGCAGGTTTAATTACATCAAAAGATTGTTGTACAAAGTTTTCACTCAGTGGGGGTTGATGTAATTACACGCTACACAGATTTTTATTTGTAGAAAATGTGGAAATTCATATGTACTTTGATTTGAATAATTATGCCGTAGTTTGGATGGCGCAGTGGTAAAGCGTCCCACTCATGCAGAGGCACGAGTCTTTGACACAGATCCGAGACCCAGCCCAATGATCGATTACCCACTCTCCTCTCTGACCCGCTGTTAAATCAAATAATTATGTCAGGCCTTCACCAAAATATGAAATAAAATGTACTCACGTTAGTGGTTGTGACACAAAATGTGGAAAAGTTAGCATTAGTCTAGAATTACTGTACGTTCTAGACTATGTCAAGTTTTTTTTTATTTTTTTTTTTTTTTTTTTTTTTTTATAGTTTGGTAGTACAGAGTGACTTATGAATATCTTTTTCCTCTGCATGATACTTTCTTAGTTTTGCCATGTCCTGGATGACTGAGAACCAACAAGTAGATAGAAATGAATATCTAGGGGGTATTATAACTTAAACGTAACTGTGGTTTATATAGAAAAATATTCAGATTTTATTTTATGGTTTTAAAGGCTCTACGTTGAAAACAGTGAGAAATAAAGGCATAACTTAGTTTTTTTTCTATCTGTTCGGCTCTCATTCACAGATCCGGGTTCACTTGTTCAGCCCGTCCCTCCCGTTTTAAACTCTTCTAATTTACTAAAAGTTAAAGAGCTAAATATGAATAAGATGTTTGAGGAAAAAAAAAACGTAGGTCTATGAAAGCGGTGCAGCAGTTTTGCTAAAGAGGCAGGTTATCATGATTCAATTCAAGACTTTTCCAAGATTGGGGGGTCGGGACCCGCCCCCCTGGGTGTAAGACGTAGTCTGGTTTTTTATGTGCTAAATGATAACCACTGTAATGTTTACGCTTCCCTCTTGTTTTCCCCGTGCAACATTTCTAGCACTGACGAGGCGGCAACGGAAAACATCCTGAAGGCGGAGATGACCCTGGCGTCGCTGTGCGGTCGCCTGGGCCTGGTGACGCCTCGCGATGCCTTCATCACGGCCATCTGCAAGGCCTCTCTGCCGCCCCACTACGCTCTCACCGTCCTGAGTAGCAACACCTCTAACCTCTCCAGCAAAGGTTCCCACAAACATTTTTCATGCACATAAAAAGACAATCTCAAGCCGACGACGTTGGTTTTCAACAAATCCACTGACTTAAGTTAGCTTTCCAAGTGAACACTGGAGTCTTGTTTTGGAAAGTTTTTCTTTATTTGCTTCTTACAAAGCATGTTTGTGTGTTTTGCAGAGCATCGCTTGAAGTCTTAGATGCTGTTTGTGTGCTTGTGTTCTCTACAGCTTACTCCATCCAGGGCCAGAGCGTGCAGATCATCAGCCCCTCCAGTGAGTCTCATCAGCAGGTGGTGGCCGTCGGGCAGCCGCTCACCGCTCAGCCGCAAGGCACCGTGGTGGTGAGGATGCACTTACATGTTTGATATTTGATAGTTTAAATCCATGCAGAAGGTTTTTTATTATTATTATTGAGAATCAAAGCAAATGTTGCCTCTTGGGTTCTAAGAAAATTTCATAAAAGTTCAGCTGTTGCTGTTGAGAATGGAGCATTTCTCTCCAAAACTAATGGGCAAAACTGGTCGAGTCCGGTTCTCTGCGACTTAAATTAATTTTTGAAAAGTTCATAAAAGATAGAATCACTTATCTGCATCGCTGATTTTTACAAAAAGGGGAAAAAAACAAAACTGACTTTAAGCAAAGTTTACAAACTCAAAAGCTTTCTAAAAACAAAATCAAAGCACGTACAATTTGTTGATGGCCGCAACTAAGTTTTTTTTTTTTTTTTAATTAACCAATTAACTAATTCATTCATTTGGACAATTGTGCTTTTTCTTCTTACCAAACAATTTCATATATTTATTTATTTTTCACAGAAAATGTTTTTGTCTATTACATTCCACAAAATAAAACGTAATATCAACATAGTTCTGCAAAGTTGCTGAACTGTATTCTTTGAAATTTACAGGATGTTGTGGATAAAAAATGTTGACAGTCTTTTGGAAATCTAAGTTAACAAAAGAGATCTGCTCTTTTCAGTAATACTAGACATATAACATGGTAAAATGGCAACAACTAATAGTTTTGTCTCAAAACAACAATACTATCGTTTATCACAATTTATCATCCAGCAAAATGTTTTATCGAGTCTAACTAAAGCAGTGAAAACGGAGCATATGTCGTCTTCCCATGTCATTCGTTCCGATGGTTTCTAGCTAGTTTTAAGTGTCTGCTAAACATGTCACAATGTAAATAATCACAAATAATCATGTAAATATCTCGCATTTATTCCAGCTGACTGCCAAGAACATCCAGTGCATGAGGACGCTGCTGAACCTGGCTCACTGCCACGGCGCCGTGCTGGGGACATCGTGGCAGCTGGTGCTGGCTACCCTCCAGGTGGGACACACGCCTCGTCACTTTACATACCTTGTGATTGTACAAACATAACAATGGAGCTACCTCTCCATTGTTTCATTTTAGGAATCTGTTTTGTGATGGATGGTGTTGGATCAACTTTGACTGCTTTTCCTTTTTTCTCTCCCAGCATCTAGTTTGGATCCTGGGGCTAAAACCAGCGATGGGTGGAGCCCTGAAACCGGGCCGAGCCGTGGAGGGACCGAGTACGGTGAGTTATCTGGGGCGACAGCTGTGTGGCGAAGATGCTAACATCAGGAGCAGTAACATAAATGACCGAAAAGTTGGAAATGCATCCTAGAAGATAAAAAGATCCTAGGGAAATTCATATCTGGCAATAAATCGTTAAGGAATTCATAGTCAAAATGCATCTCTGTTGATCCCAGAAAGCTATTCTTGCTCCTGGATAAAGGAGGTTTTGTTTGCAGGTGTTGTAATCTTTGCTTCGACCTTTTATGGTGAGCTAACTGACTGTGAATCTAAACAGGTGCTGACCACAGCAGTTATGACAGATCTGCCCATCATCTCCAACATCCTGTCCCGACTATTTGAAAGCTCACAGTAAGAATTTTTCAATCTTCAAAGCTGTCTTTAATCACATTTAGAATTGATTTTAGTAAGTATAATTTTAATGTTTTTCAGCATATCAGCATCACATTTAGAGGTGGGCGATATGGACTTTAAAGTCTTAGCACAATATTTAGTGGTACTATTGTGATGGCAGCAAAAAAATAAATAGTTACCACAAACACTGCTCTTGAAAATCATTCCCATTTGCTGCTTTAGGACACCAGTAACACAAAGAAATGTGATTTATATCAACTAGATGAACATTGAAACTGCTTGTAGTCAGATTTTAAAATTTATTGACATTTATTGAACAAACAGTGTGAAAAAAAATAGTAAAATGATCAATTCGGACAGTTTTGGGGGATTTTAAACAATTCATTGGAATTTATTATGAATAAATCAAAATTCTTATACTTCATTTATCACAATAAATAATAAACAATATGATAAATGCTCACCCCTACTCACAGTTTACCTTTTACTATTAAAGCATAACAATTTTAAAATATATATATTTTTTATTAGGTACCTCGATGACGTGTCTTTACATCACTTAATCAACGCACTCTGTTCCCTCTCTCTGGAGGCCATGGAAATGGCTTATGGAAATAATAAGGTAAGAAAAATGTTCTAACTCACAAACATTTTCTCTTTTTGAGTTTGCACTGGTTAAAACACAAACGCACATCTGCATTGTTTTGCATTGGCCGTTGTTCAGGAGCCGTCTCTGTTCGCCGTCGCTAAGCTGCTGGAGACTGGCCTCGTCAACATGGACCGCATCGAGATCCTGTGGAGACCCCTGACAGGACACCTGTTAGAGGTAACCTTTACCCGCGTTAAACCCGCTCGCTAATGACGGTTAAAAATAGGTGGAGACGCTTAGCAGGAGACAGTTGTTGAAACATTTCATTATAAACCTGTCCAATAGATGTAGTACAGCAGGAATGTATTAGGCCAGCTGAAACAACATTATCATATGGTATGTTTTCACAAAACGTGATTCTGCAACAACAGAAGCAGAAAGCTCTTACAGTTTATTTAAAATGCCCTCTGTTTACATTGGCAGACTGGAAGGATGCTAGAACTTGTATGCAGGAGTTTGTGAAATATATCAGCACCAACATGATTATCGGTTGATTTTTAGTAATTTTTTGTTCCTGGGCAGATATTAATAACCAATGTTTCTGCCTTCTTTTTGACATCAGTGTACATCTTTGAGGTATTTTAGAGGTTGTTTTTGTGCAGAATTGTTGACTTTTTAGCAACGTCAGCAGTATAGTGGGGTTTTTTCTTCTTTTTATATATAATTTAGAAATGTAAATTATATATACACATGATGCATAAAATACTGGACATCGGCCATAACCGCTACATTAATATTGGATATTGGTATCTGCAAAAATCCCCACTTGTATATCAATAAATAGTACATTTTGTCAAATATTTTCAAACCACATGTAAACCCAGAATACCGTTTATGTTTTGCTCTGTGAAGCAATGCAGAAAGTGTCAATAAAAAGTGAAAAAGTTTTCATACTCTTTGAATTTTTCCATACTATGTCACAGTAGAAGCATGATCTGTAATGACCTCTGTTGAGATTTTACAAAGTAGAACGTTTCTGTGAAGTGGAACAGAGGTGATATATGGTTTAAAAATAGTTTTTTGTTTTTATTTTGAAGCAACCTGTTTGCGAATTTTGTGGAGAAAACACAGTTATTAACATAAACATATCAAGTTTCAATAAACTCCATTAAAGTTTACAGTTGTACCGTGACAAAATATGCAATAGCTCAGAAGTGTTGAGTAACATTTCTACATTTGGACATCTGTCTCAGAGTTTTGAAAGGTTTCTTTACATCTTCCTTATCTCCCCCTCTCTTTTGCACACGTTTGTTTTGCAGAAGGTAAGCTCAGATTTTTTTGAAACGCTTCTTTTTCTCGTTTATTTTTTTCCCCTCATGTCTCTCTGTCTCTCTCTCTCTGACTGACATAAACATGTTGGATCCAAGACGGCGCTGAATGCCAGAATGTGTCCGCAGTTTGTTTGCAGTGTTGATCTGATTCATCACACAGCAAGAATCTAAATCTGCACCTTCAAAGTCTGCCTCCCTTAAATCTTTCCCTGTGCGCTTATTCAAATTCCTTCATAGTTTGAAGAAACTATGCCAAGATTCATACTTTTTTTAGTTTTTTTTTTTCTTTTTAATTTTTCCAAATGCACAATGTGATTAAAATGTTGAGCTTTATGTGGACACAAAATGATACACATGGATCATCTGGATTCTGAATTTGTAATTTAATTTCTAAAACAAAAATGTCTACCTGTTTACAATTACAAAGGTAGATCCAGTTCTGCTATTCATCCAGGCCTCTCCATGTGTATTCACACTCCCAACGTTGCCTCGTCTGTAACAACCTAATCTTCAGCTGCAGGTTGATCCGTTATGCGTCTGGTGTGTTCGTGTCTCTTGTAGGTCTGCCAGCACCCGAACTCCAGAATGAGAGAGTGGGGAGCTGAGGCCCTGACGGCGCTAATCAAAGCCGGGCTCTCCTATAAACACGACCCTCCGCTCGCCCAAAACCAGGTAGGCTTGATCACACACTCAAAAAATGCTCTTTTTTATTTTCCTTCTTTTTAAGTTTTTATACTAAATAATGTCAAATTTTGTGGAGAGACAAAAAAAAGCAACCATTTTCCTAGACTGTACCAATGAACTTTTTCTGCTTTTGTCCTTCAAATTGGCTGTTTGTGATGCTGACATTTAAAAAGTCTCTGCTGTCACATAGTAACCATGACATGCATGCATCTGCCAATTGCAAGAAAATGAGATAAAAAATGTCACTTCTATCTTGTGCTGTGAGACTTGGTGACCTTTACCTCGCTGAAGCAGATACAGGCGATACCATCAAGGCAGGACAGAACAACTGTGCAAAGGAATAGAGCTATAAAACTCAGAGAGAAACATATTAATAATAGTAGTCGATGTTTATGGGTGCATTTCATCATCATGACTACATATTGTAGTTACTTTTTAATCTGATTCTGTAAGACGTTTCTACCCATTTTTGTGGAATTTTCATAATTTGTGGGAGTTTTGTACATGATTATTTGAATAATGAATTAATACCACTTAACCCGGTTAAATATGTTCTTTCTCTTCCCAAAGCGGCTGCAGCTGCTGCTGCTGAACCCCCTGAAGGAGCTGTCCAACGTGTTACACGCTGACATTCGGCAGAAACAGCTGGAGTGCGTCCTTCAGATATTGCAGAGTCAGGGCGACAGCCTCGGTCCCGGCTGGCCCCTCGTGTTGGGCGTCATCGGCGCTATCCGCAACGATCAAGGGTAAGAGTAACCGACGCAACGGTGGCGGTCAGCTGCTGGCGTTTTACTGAAACAAACCTTTGATTCCTGTTCTTTTCTCAGCGAATCGTTGATCCGAACAGCCTTCCAGTGCCTGCAGTTGGTGGTGACCGACTTCCTCCCCACGATGCCTTGCACGTGCCTCCAGATTGTGGTGGATGTGGCCGGCAGCTTCGGCCTTCAGAACCAGGAGCTCAACATCAGCCTTACTTCCATCGGCCTGCTGGTGAACTTTCACTCGTCAATTCCCACAGTGAACGATGCACTTCCTCGCGTAATGACGAGGAGATAAATCCCCCTTTTTGTCCTCCGTTCCATTTTCACCCACAGTGGAACATTTCCGACTACTTCTTCCAAAGAGGGGAGGCCATCACCCAGGAGCTGGAGAGAGAGGAGGAGGCGCTGCAGAAGCAGGCGCTGGAGAAAGGCGAGACGCTGAACAGGCCGTTCCACCCCGCCCCTCCCTTCGACTGCCTGTGGTTGTGTTTGTACGCCAAGCTGGGCGAGCTCTGCGTCGACCCGCGGCCCGCCGTACGCAAAAGTGCAGGCCAGACGTTGTTCTCCACCATCGCTGCCCACGGGACCCTGCTGCAGCAGCCGACGTGGCACATCGTGGTCTGGAAGGTAACATGCAGCAGGGATTCCCCCAGTGTATTGTAAGCCTGGCGGGCCACCAGGCTTTATGTGTCCCCCGCCAGGCTAAGCGCTGTGTGTTCTTGTTTTTTTTTTTTTTTATTGCCGCCTCTTAACATCCTTGTATGGTATTTTAGGTTTTGTTCCAGCTGCTGGACTGTGTGAGGACGTCATCCACCACAGCGGACAAGGAGAAGATCGAGTCTGGGGGCGGGAACATCCTCATCCACCACTCTCGTGACACTGCCGAAAAGCAGTGGGCAGAAACGTGGGTGCTGACGCTAGCCGGGGTGGCTCGCATTTTCAACACCAGGCGGTATCTCCTCCAGCAACTAGGTGAGCCTGCAACAGAAGCGTTTCGCAGAAGCCTCGTATGAAAGCGTTGATAATCTTCAGAGGTGTCTTGATACAACTTTTTCACTTCTGATCCGATAACGATATTGAAGCTTTGCGTATCGACTGATACTATCATTGACCCGATACGATAAAGTGACCTATTTATTGTTAACCAATGGGTCTGTGTGCTGGATAGAAATGCTGGGGTGGACTTCATGCTGGAGCGGAGTGCTTCTATCAGTGATTTCAGATGCAGCCTGATATAATCCAATACACTTTTTATTGGCTAATATTGGATTGGGACACCTCTAGTAATTACAGCCACTTCCTATTGGTTCTGACCATCTCGCCGTGTTTCTGCAGGGGATTTCTTCGAGGCCTGGGAGGTTCTGTTGAACCACATCCAGTCGGCCGCCCTCAGTAAAAACAATGAGGTCTCGCTAGCCGCTCTCAAGAGCTTCCAAGAAATCCTGCAGATCGTCACGCCGGTCAAAGACTCGGACAAAGCAGGGGACGCGCTCGCCGCCATGGGCGTGCCCCCGGTCCTGATCGACCCGCTCTCCGCCTCCGGCCCTGGCAGACCCCTGGTACGGTCAGATTCGCTAGTCGAGAGGCTGACGAGGTATAACGGCGCTGAGCTGCAGGCGCCGCCGCCGGGGGAGGAGTCTGCGCTGGAGGACTCGACGCTGTGGTGGTCCGCGTGGAACACATGGTACCGAGCGGGAACGGAGAGCACGAGGCCCCCCAGCGGCCTGGCCGAGAAGCTGGCCTTCATCCCGAGCCAGCCCTTCCTCACGGCACTGATCCAGATTTTCCCGGCGCTCTACCAGCACATCAAAGCTAACTTCAGCATGGACGACCTGAAGAAGCTGGGGGTGATCCTCCACGGCGCCGTGTCTGTGCCTATAAGCAGCGACGCCTCGCCTTTCATCCTGCCTTCCTACACAGAGGCCACGCTCACTAGCCTGCAGGAAGCTGTGCTCACCGCTCTGGATGTGTTGCAGAAGGTAGGGCGGCACGCGCCTGGAACGCAGCAGAATACCGTGATGAAGGGGTTAATTGTGTGAAATCTGAATTTTCTTGAATCTTTTCTGTTCTTTCATAAAAAGGATCCCAAGACACTTTGCATCTCTGCTGCTAAATCTCAGTGGTGGGGAATATGGATTTCTAATTTTATCGCAATATTTTGTGTTGCTGCTGTGAAAACACTAGAGATTGTGATTTAAAAAAAAACCCTACTAATTACATATTTTGTTGATAACAATGGTTGTGACTGCAGGCACAGCGTTCATAGCGCTGCAAACACAAGTATAAATCTTTAAAATTATTCCGTTTTACAGAGGCACTTACTTAAAAAGAAGTCATTTATAAATGCTGCACATAGTAAGTGCATTAAATCATAATATCGATGCTTTTGTGGAACAAACAGTGGAGAAAATAGTAAAAATAGCATGTCTAATTTTACTGTCAATTTTTTTATTTTTTTGTCTGCCATCAAGAACTGAAATTTATAATGATAAATCAAAATTCTTAGAAGAAGTTTTTCACGATAAATGATTTACCCACCCCATACTAAACCTGTACATCTGGTTTGGACATGTAGGGAATTCAGCATGTATCAAAAAACACTAAAAATACTCAGAGCATGCAGAATTTGTAAATAAAATGTATTTTATTTATAAATTGGCTCATTTATTTTGTTGTACATTTATGTCTACATGGAAAAAGTTAACTCAATATGGCCACTATTTTTTTATGAGGGAACCATGGGCCCCTATACCCCCCCAATTGTGATCGCCACTGGAGTCAACCATGTTGTTTTTGTTTGGACATCCAATCAACGATTCAAAGATTTTGTGGGTGTCTAACTGAATTAGAGGGGCAATATAAGCTGTGTAGCTGTGTTTTTTTGTTTTGTTTTGTTTTTGGGGTGGAGGGTGTTCAAATTGGCTATACAGTTATTGATCATATCAGCAAATATCAGTTATTAACTATAACAGCAATTGGATAGTGATATTGGCTGAAAATGTTCCCATCAGTGCATCCCTACTTGAATCCAAGCAGGCCATTGTTACTGCAATATTGTACCCTAATTATTATGATTTTTTTTTTTGCCTCACAATCAAGGATTAAAAAAAAAAAACAGTTAAAAGCTCTCGGAATCAAAAAAGTAATGCTAGAAATGAGGACAGGTTTTCAGAGCTGCTTCGGGGGAAGATTGTTTGTTTGCATCATCTAATATGCAGTCCTGCGGTGAATGTCAGCGGTGTTTGTTCCTCTCTTCCCTCCCCGCTGCAGGCCATCTGTGTGGGCCCTGAGAACCTGCAGGTCATGTACCCGGCCATCTTTGAGCAGCTGCTACTTTTCGTGGAGTTTTCCTGCAAGCCTCCTCAGTACGGCCGGGTGGAAACCAAACACGTGGCCAACGCTAAATACAACCAGGTACGGACCTCCGACTCACCGTGCCACCTCCACACAATTGTTCTGGATTTTTTGTTTTTGTTACATCAGAGGAGGCTGAATATAATCCAACCTCCTTTCCAATCAAACTGTTCCTCTTATGGAGTATTTTTTTAGAAGCTGTAAGCTATTTCTTTCTGAAAATTCCTCCCTCCTGCATAGATTTGGCTTCCAATATGCACATAGTTTAGTTTGTGTTACCACTTTTCTTTAGTCTTTGAATCATTGAGAGAGATTGCAGTAGTTACAAAACTTCTAATTACATCATCTTTGTTTGTACGCTGGGAAACAACGATTCCTTCAGTCAACAAGTTCACAGACCAGAGTGACGCCGCGCATCATCTGCACAGAATGATGTCAACCGTTGTGATTTAAAACCCAAACAATATTTTGAGAAAAATGCTTGCAGAAGACAATGCGCTGTCCTTATTCTTTTGACCGGGTTCAAAAGAATAAGGGCCTCCGGTTTGGAGCCAATTTAGGTGACCCCAAAAATAAATAAAATCTTTTACTCGTGCAATTAAGAGACATTTAGAAGCTAGGTCTACACCTTAGGATGTTTAATTGATGATCCAGATTGGATTTAATTCAGATGTTGATGAAAGATGTTCAAATCTCTAACTCTACAGTCAACCTTATGTTCTGCAAAGTGTTCATGTCACCATTGTCTTTTTGACATTTTGTCCTACTAAGATCAAATCCTTCATGGAGTCTGTGTGATTAAGTAACACAAAGCAATCCATAATGTGGTTTTCACATTTTTACACACACACACACGCACGCACGCACAGACACACATACACACACGCAAAGATCAAATAAACAAGCAACTAGACAGGTGCAATGAATGGGTCAGATTCTGGTTGTCAAACTGACGCCAAATTTGGCCTGTTATTTAAATATATTTTCCCCACTGGTTTAATAAGAAATTCTACCAGCCAGCCAGCAGATGGCAGAAGCGCTGCTAATACTACAAATCCCAGAATGCTCTGCTGGTGCCACAGATTTCACTTTTGATTCCATTTGTGTGTAAAGTATCAAACTTTGTTTGCTCCAGCATTGATGTGTAAGCAAACTGAAGGACTATTGTTTTTTTTATTTTTATACTTTTGACAGTTATGGTTAAATCTGAATAGAAGAGTAAACTTACGTACAGGGAGATCGTTCATACGTAGACGCCTCATAGAGCGGGTCGGCCTGTTGCTGCGACGCGTCACAGTGTCCGCCATATTGATTCTGCCAGTAACCTGATACAAGTAAATGGACCAAACTTCAGAAAGTGCTTTTCTACAAAGTATTTTAAGTTAATACCCGTCATTGACAGATTTTCTCACACACACTATGTATTCATGTCTATGGTCCATACCAGCTTATCCTTGCAGGGTTGTGTGATGCCTCATGCCTGATCTTGTTTATTTTGACCCTCAGATATAAATTAACGGTTTCAAGCAAAAATACACAAAGTCTAGACTGAAATATTTTGCTCTCTCACATAAAATTCCAACTAAATAACTTTGAGGGTTTTGGTTGGAAAACAGCAAAGTTTTGAAGAGACATTAGACGTTATTTTGTCTGATTGGCTCCAATATCCCTGACTTATTCTGCCCCCACCGGAAAAATAACAAAAATCATTATTACAGCTCATTTTCTTCAAAGTCAACTCCCCTGCTTCAAAGCAGCCGGTTAATTTCAGTCTTTTTCTCATTCTGTTTCTTGGACCCGCTCACCGCGGATAACCAATTTTAGATCCAGCTGTTTGCACCGGTGAGTTTCTTTATCTGCCTCAAGCCCCCCGCCCTCCTCCACCCCGCCCCCTCCCTCATCTATAGTGCCACTAAGCTGATCGGTGATGAGCTCCCCTCTGCGGCAAACCAGGAATCGGTCCGCACGGTGTCTTCTCTCGTGTCTCATCTGCGTCTCACACTCACCCCATGCTGCCCCTCCTCCACCCCCTCCGCCCCTCTGCCTGCCACTAACTGGTGGTTGCGCCTCTGTGTGCACTGTTCGTATGGAGTTCATTTTTCAGTTGACTTTGTAATTTTTGGTGATCCTTTTTTATTTTGTTTGTTTTTTTTTTACACAAGTGTGACTCTCTTTGTTTCTTAAAGGCACATTTTGATGATTTGACTCTAACATGATGGGGCAAAGCTAATAGCAGCGATAAAGTTTCCTCCTTCCTGCTTAAAGTGTGCCTTTAAATCACGCTTTCAGTGTTGCCAGATTTTGAAGAGGGAATGTTTTCTTTCTGATTTTAGATTTTCATGTTAATGTAAAATGTTTTTTTTATTTTTCTTTGCATCCACAGGCAGAGTGGGTTGCCTTAAACTATGTGCCCTTTGCTGAGCGCTCCTTGGAGGTGGTGGTGGACCTTTACCATAAAACGGCGTGCCACAAAGCTGTCATCAACGAGAAGGTTCTGCAGAATATCATCAAGGTATTTATGCTAAATAAATCTGAGCCAAAATGTAAATGTTAAGAAGCATAGTCAAAGAAGTTCATTCATAAAATACTTAGAGAGTTTTGCAAGTTCTGACTTCTCACAGTAATGATAGCAAAGCCGTTTTCATCATGTTTGCCTATGATATTTAGCTTTATAGCACACCTTTCTTTTAAGATTATTATGCAGAATATTTGTCTTGTAAGAACCCTAAAAGTCATTTGTGCATAAAATTGTTTTTCCACAGGCAGTTTCATCCATTGCCATTTTGTCTGTCGTTTTCTTACAGTTTGGTGATTTAATTAAGTTGTTTTTCTTTTCTTGTCATCTTTGTTGATTTTGCAAAATTATGTTGCATGCAAAACTAAACATGGCTGAGTAGATAAATAATTAGATACATAGTCTTTGTTTTCACATCCTACATGCTTTTGAGATGCTAATCAGCTGCTCCCAGTTGGAAATAAATAAAAATACCTTGTTTCCATGGTTACGCATCATAATCAACTATCTGCAAGTACAAACGTAAGAGCAAAAATGCTGCCAGTTGCACCGCATCCACAAACCAACCAACCCAAAAGAAATAAAGACAAACATCAGAACAAACGCAGCAGAGCGATTCAGATTTCCACGGATAAGGAAGTTTCATACATTTCCTTCTAACCGTTCTTCAAAATAATGTTCATAAGATTAACATTGCGTTGTTTTTTCTTTTCTCCTTCTCAAGACTTTAAGAATGCCGCTGGGTTTGAAGTACGCCTGTCCGTCGGAGAGCACCTGGAAGCTCGCCGTGTCGTCTCTGCTCAAGGTGCTGTCCATCGGGTTGCCTGTTGCGCGCCAGCACGCCTCGTCTGGGAAGTTCGACACCATGTGGCCGGAGTTGGCCAACGCCTTTGAAGACTTTCTTTTCACCAAAAGGTACGTTTTCCCCCACAAACCTCGTTGACGCGTGCGGCCTGTTTCAAAATGCTAACTGTTCCTGTTTCTTTTCTTTAGCGCGCCTCCTGACAATCTGTCCATTCAGGAGTTTCAGCAGAACGAATCGATCGATGTTGAGGTATTTTGTCCGTTCGAGCGTCAGAGACGTATCTCAGAAACATTTTCGCTTCTGTTTTTTGCGCCCATCCCCTTCACATTGTGATGGTCTCCTTCCTTTCAGGTGGTCCAGTTGATCAGCACAGAGATTTTACCATTTGCCAATTTCATCCCCAAAGACTTTGTCGGTCAGATCATGACTATGCTCAATAAGGGGTCCATTCACTCCCAAGCTCCCTCGTTCACAGGTAACATTACGGCTGTTTTCACACCTGGTAGTCCGGTGGTCTCGGTTCGTTTGGGGACCAAAATTGCAACATTTATTACATCTTCAGCTGCTGTGATTCGCTTTCACGCTGCACTGTGTAAAATGAACCAAGCACTTTCAAAAACCGGAGACGTCAAGATGTACACAAAAACCTCAACTATGTAAACAACAATGGAGAGGTGTCGGATTTTAGCTGGGGTAGCAGTTCTCTTTTGTCTTTGGTAAAAGACCACAGGGCATTTCTTCCACTAGCGCTAAACTTGCGTATTGGATTTGTTGTATTTTCCCAGAATGCCCTGCACTATCGTCCATTTTTTACTTTTGGAGTGGTCTCTGGTCTGCTAGGTGTTCAGATATGTATTGGAACCACACCAGAGTTAACTTGAATCAAACCAAGACCGAGCTTTTTATGTGGACTAGCGTTTGTTTTTTTTATCCTGCATCAGAATTCAATCACGCGTTTACACCTCCCCAAACAAACCGAACTTTCTAGACGAACAAACTAGAGTTGAATGAAAGTGGCAGCAGCGACCGCTGAAGTGTCACAGAAGGATAGCGGTGGGTTTAACTCCATAGATGCTAATGTGTTCCTTCTTTCTGCAGAGGCTGAGATAGACGTGCGGATGCGGGAAGATTTTTCGAAGGTGTGCTTCGAGACGCTGCTCCAGTTTTCCTTCAGCAACAAGGTGTCCACCCCTCAGGAGGGCTACATCTCTCGAATGGCGCTCTCTGTGCTCCTGAAGAGGGCCCAGGACGTCCTCCGGCGCTACGTGGAGGACGAACAGTTGAGCGGACGCTGTCCGTTACCGAGGTATGTCCTTACGCTTTGACACAGCCGCCACGTTTCCATCGACCATAAAATTGCGCAAATCAATAGTACAAAAATACATTTCCTTAATGGAGACACGCCCATTTTAAAGAAAATGTCTTTTGCTAAAATGTTTTTCCCGCTGAAATGAGAGGTTTTTCTTTTTGGATGTGTATAAATTTGGCAAAACTGCAATTAGAACTTGTGAAAAAGACAAAGAAGATGCCAGGAAGGACGATGATAGCGCAACATGTTTTTAACGATTTAGTGTTTGGAAAATTGTAAAAATTATGTTTCTCATTTAATAAACACACTGCATTTGCGACATTATTGGAATGTCGACAAAGTTTTGCAACATTTGTAGTGGAAATATAACCCATCACAAACTCTGGGTATTTTATTTGGATTTATCAACTAGACCAGCTGTAACTTTTTTCACACTCTTATGAAAATGGCATCAACAAAAGAATACCATAAATTTACTTTGCTGCATTACTCATTTTCTTTCCCCTCTTTCTGATGATTTTCAGGCAGCAAGTGACGGAGATTATCTTCGTTTTGAAAGCTATCAGCACCTTGATGGACTCGCTTAAAAAGACTCAGCCAGAAAACGGTATGTTCCTCACCGTGCCTGAAGAAATCCCTCCACTTTCTGCTTATTAATCTTTTATCTTCTTTTTCCCTTCATGCAGTGGATGGCAACACATGGGCTCAGGTGATCGCTCTGTATCCCACGCTCGTAGAGTGCATTACCTGCTCTTCGTCCGAGGTGAGCGCAGCCCTGAAGGAGGCCCTGGGGCCCTTCAAAGACTTTATGCAGCCTCCCGTCTCCAAAGTCCAGAACGGAGAGTCCTGACCGGACTGACTCTTACACTCCATGTTTTTATAATAATGAAGAAATCTTGAATCTGGATTCTTATCCCGGGGTGCTTCACAAGTGCTTGCACATGAACTCCATTTACGACGATGCGAAGCAGCTCCCCGCCCCCCACAGAGAAGGCCAGACGACTCCAGACTTAATATGCATCATTGTGTGCTTTTCATACGAGCTAATGACACTTAAACCCCTCCGCCTCCATTCACCTTCAGGCTGGCAGCAGTTGCCTGTCGACTACAGAAATAAAAGAGAAAGTTGCAGTGTTGCTCTTGGGTTTGGTTTGTTTTATTCTTCCGGAGACGCCGCATTGATGTACAGTGATTATGTTCTTAGGAAAAGAAAGTCAGAAAATGATCTTACAAATGGAAAAACACAAATTTATTTATTTTTTTGTTTTTTTTTCCACCATTTCCAGCAATGAAGTTCTTTCAAAATGTTATGCAAATAAAAAGAAGAAGAAAAAAAAAACTTCCCCAAATCTTTTAACATTCCATGTCACCTTCAGCCGGCCATCTGAAAAGGGATGTACATGACTGTGTGAAATAAACGGGACATTTCTCCAATCAGCTGTCTGCTTCATTACAAGGCATGCTCAGGGAAACGGCTCTTCTGTTTGCTACACATTTCTTAATATAAATAAATACTAGTGTTTTATTTATTTATATATATCCCAGGGTTTGTTGTGAGACATAGAAAGTCTGGTCCAGCTGTGATCTTTTGATCCAAAATGGCCGACTTCCTGTTTGACTTGGACTCTGACATCAATTGAATTTTCTTGGGGAGCTCTACAAGTGTATCAAATTTTATGCCTCTACGGTAATGTAAGGTCAATGCGGATGGTATTTTGAAAGCTACCAGGTGGCGCTGTTGAGCTGTTTCTGTTGTGATTTTTGCAACGGCCTTAAAATGCGTAATTTTCACGCAGCCTTGACACATCCGCCAACTTTGGTGAGTTTTTGAATATGATAAAGCCTTCAGAAAGCCAATTCATTTGACAGTAATAAAAAGAAGAAGAAACCGCACATTACAATATCGGAGGACCTTAATCGGGTATCATGATGTGATGTCATCGGAGGCATGTGGGCATGAAGGGTTTAAAAAAAATGTATGGTGATTTAAATTAAGGGAAACAAGGCATCCAAACCAACATAGTACTATGTGAAAACATTTATCCAATTGTTAGTTTGTGAAGTAGCTTTGGTGTAACCACGTGTTTTTGTGAGGAGTTGCAGAATCAACTGTCAGACATGAACATGAAAAATATTTTAAACCAAACGCGCTGATCTAAAGACGTGCAAGAACAGATGAGAAACGTCAATTGACGTTTGGTCATTCAGGGCTCAGGTAGCTGGAGGACAAGATGGACTGCATTCATCTTTTTAGGTGTTTAATCCAAGAACATCTACCAGGCTGCGTGCAGTACAGTGGGTGTGGTGATCGCCTTTTCTCCACACGAGCGTGGGGGATTAACATGCATCTTGAGGAGCTCTGCAGCTTCACGGCCTCCTGTGACCTTCGGGAGCCGAGGCTCGGCGTCCCGTCGACAGGTCACATGAAGGGAAGTGAGCCGAGGAGGAGGACGAGGGCAGGTCTGACTGGGCGGGGTTTCCCTCCCAGTTCAAGCGAGCGGCTCGGCAGAGGACAGAAGCAGGACTGCGCGGATATCTTCGACTGCGAGGCATTTTCGACACTGCTCGACTTTTTTCTCTCTATTCTCCTTAAATGTTTTTTTTTTCGGCGTCCTGGTTTTTGTCCGCCTTCAGGCCTCGTTACTGGCTGAGGTAGTAGTTTGTGCTGTTGGTCGGGTTGAGACACTGCCCGCTATGGAGATGACTGCGCAAGCTACTGCCTTGCCAGTGCTGGTGCTGCGCTTCGGCCGAACCACGGACACAAAGTCCCCGCGTCCTGCCGCGCGCTCCGTGGGTCTCCCAGGTAACACGCCCCGCCGAGACTCACGCGGGGTTTTCATTCGTGTGAAAATAAGAAATGTAACTGTTTTTCCCCCTTAATCTCAGAAACTGTCGTGTTTCTCACTGTCACGTGTTTAATAAAAAATTTTTAAAAAGTACAAAAAGAAAAAAAAACCCTCATGTAGTTTTTTTTTATATTTCCTCGTGAATTCAAGTGTCTTTTCTAACTGTATTAAATGTAATGTGACGGTGGGAGTATTTGTTGGGGCTTCCAGCCCCGCGCGCGCGCGGCGTGGGGCTGGACGGTGTGGGAACGATGCATGTAGGTCAGCAGCGCTGTTGCTATGTGCAGAGCAGTGACGTGGCTCGCGCTTCCCACTGAGGTGTCCCACGGTACATCTGCTCTCCCCGCGTGTCCTTTGTTGTCAGCGCTGCTGCTGCATACCGTCACCGTCAGGGCATCAGTCACTGAAGCCGCTCAGATCTGAGCGCGTCTTGCCTCGGTGGGTCTCCCTGGATCCCCTCCACCCCCCAAAATAAAAAATAAAAACGGCTCCAGTGAAGTGACCCCACTCCACCTATCCCCCCCTCGGTGGAGCCGGAAGCAGCTCCGCTGTTAACCTCTGGGAGCCTCCCCGTGCTGCCCAGCAGCATCCGGCCGCTCATTGGTCCGCGGACGGGGGTGGGGTGCGGGACGTGTGAGGAGCTTTGATTGGCTGGAGGCCTGGGTCGACGATTCCTGGAAAGGGGGGGCCCTGCTTTCTTGAGTAAAAGGCCCCTCGCAGAGGAAGAATGACTCCTGCTTTGACCTTCCGAGAGGAGCAACTATGAAATATTTATGAGTTCACACTTGATATGATGACTGTGTTCATCCCAGGAGGGGCTCCGCTCTCCTCTCCGGGCCCTCCAGCATCTCTGTGCTGAACCCGCAAATAAATCCTACTGCAAGGACCTCGCCTGCTGCAAGCTGGAGCCACGGTTTCTGCTTCCCTCGTTTGTGATTGCAGCTCCTCGGCTTTAGACCCAGACTGGATGTTAGTGATGTTGCGTAAAGCTCCAACAGGTTTCTCTCATGGGGCGATGCAGGCGCTGTGGCTGTGAGTGTCATAGTCCAGCTGTAAGGAGATGCAGCCAACAGCTCACCAAGCTGCACCTGAGCCGTGCTGCACATAAATCACACATATATATGTTGCAACAACAGACGTCGAGATTTGAAAGACCAACACGGGGGGAAATGGTTTTCAGCAAAAAATACAGGGTGTGTTTCAATACGAGGTCTCCTTCAACATGACTAAATAACATACGTTCATATTCATGAGAGTGAAATATATGCACACTGATGACTTAAAAAAAAAAAATTCCAGGAATTGCTTTGGTAAATGTGAATGAATTAGGATGTTCGCCGATTCTCGGATGAGAGCCACACTATCCTGATTGTTTGTGAAACAGTTTTGAAAGTGGCGCCTCAGTTTCCTCCCACTTCAACGATTCTGCGTTCAGCTGTTCTACACCGTCACAAAAAGTAAACAATACACCGGAGTTTGTGGGTCGAAGTCAGAGGGATGTGAATACTTTTGCGAAGGAACTGCAAATTGGAACTTGTACCTGCTGATGGAGGTGGACCACCGCCAGCCCACGCCCATCACGTCCAGGGCCGGATGTAGAAGGATGTGGGCCCCCGGGGCTGGAGCCAAACTGGTGGCCCGTCCACCAAAAACATATTTCACACATGCAAATTACAGAAAAGTCAATCAACACGTCGGTGGGTACGACTCAACGCTCTATGCTGTATGGTGGACTAGGAATTCATAACCTTCTAATTCCATTGATTTAATATATTAATAAAATCCAACAATTTCAAAACACCTAATTTGATATGGGTTTGTGAGTTTCCTAAGAGTTTGCTTGGAAACTATTTACTCGTTAAAAAAAATAAATAAAATACCTGTTGCCCCAAAAACCTTGGCACCCTGGGTTACTGCCCCGACATGCCCGCTCTCATCACCAGCTTCGCTCACACACAGGTGGCTGCAGATTCACTTATGTTAGTCAGGGGCAAAACAAATAAAAATGTCATCCTGGGGTGAAAAACGTGATAAAAAAAAAGGTAGTGCTTCTCTTCTCCTCGTAAAATAGATGAGCGTCTCACTCCGGGGGCCCTCCACCTCCACTCTCCATCTCACTTCAGATGGGTGGGGTGGGAGTGCTGTGACCTTGGAAAAAACAAGCCACCCACGGCAATGACTGTGTCATCGCTGCCGTCATCCAATCTGGACCACACACACACACATACACACACACACACACACACGTTGAGAGTAGGAGTGGAGTGCCAGATCAGTGCTGGTCTGACTGCAGGGGCGGATGTGGCGCTGGTTCTGACGGGACCAGATGGTCCTTGGAGCTCCTGCTGAGAAGGTGGGAACGTGTGAGAGTTTAGCGAGGGGAGGGGGGGGGGGGGGGTGAGGACAGACGAACCCAAATGACAACAGACTCAAACAGGTTCCTGTCCACCATCAACTCATCTGGTTCGGTTATGGGTTCTGGTTCTGTTGCGTGACTCGCCATTTTCTGCACCACATCATTTGATTATGAGCCACTTTATTTGAAATGTGACAAAACATGAGTGGTTTTAAAATTACAAAATGTGAGGGAAAAAACTCAAACTAAACCGACGGCTAGAAAAGATTATTGTGCGGTTTCTGACATTTTTGCTCTTCCACAAAAGTAGCGTCTCATTCTGCTCTTCCTGGAATATCTCATTTGTGTTTTTCCATGGCCGACGGTGTGAAACCTTTAATCGTCCTTTCAAGGCCTCTTGTATCCTGACCTGCTTTCATTCGCACTCCGAACCGGCCAATCAGAGCGACTGTAGCCTCTTTTATTGTCTTTCTTACACACCTGCTGCAGCAAAGGAAGGCACTTCACATTTTACTTTGAATATTTTATGCCACCAGAGCTGCTCAAAATCACACCAAAGTTGCAGCTTAATCCCCACCAACTCAATGTGTGGTCCCTTTAAAGAGACAGCAATTAGGTAACCCTAAAACACAAGGAAACCATTTAACCGATCTTAAGAATGTTTTTTTTTTTTTTTTTTTACAAAAATCTATGGTTGAGACTGCAAAAAAAACACATTTCAACTAAATACTCGGCAATGGATTTGTGAAGGGAAACAAAAGTAGATGCAATGTAACATTTTACTATGAAAACAACAAAGAATCAGAACAATTTCATTCTGAGATTTCTTTCTTCTTTTTTAAATTCACTGAACCTTTTTTTTTTTTTAAACTATCCTCTGATTTTAAAAATCTTGCAAACTGCATGTTTTTGTTCCTCGACAGAAGAGCGTCCGCTGGAGTTTTTTTTAACATTTCAATGAATCGACTCTGTTCCCGCGTTTTACACCAATGTACACAGCGGCTAACACCAAGACGAGATCCACATAAAAACAATAAAATGGAAATATGGACGGGAAAAAAAATCCAAACAAAAAAACCTCTGGTGCTGTACAGTACTAATCACACTCTTTGAAAGTTTTCTTTTTTTTTTTTTTTTCACTTTTGGTCACATTTTAAACACAAACTTAATATATCAAACATGTTTTCCGACATGTTTTACTCCCGATACGGCAAAATAAAACTTACGCAGCCACCCACTAGCTTCAGAAGCAATTTGCTGTCAGCCTAATTAAATTAAAAATATTCATCATACTCAACAATCTGAAAACAAACACGCGTAGGTAAAAATTAGGACTGGGGCTGGCACGGCCTAGTCAAAGTCCAGATCTAAATATTATTGGGAATACGCTGCAAGAGGTGAAAATGTATGTCCACATATACTCCCATATGTGATGATTTAGGACAGGCAAACAAAAACAAATAATCACCATTAAACACTGAAGTTTGTGTGACTGCCCATTTCAAAACGCGTGAAGGTTCAAGGGGTGTGAATACTTTTCCAAGGCACTTTAAGTTGAAGTTCCTCTTGCACTCACAAAACTCAACCTGGACAGAAACACGGAAAAAACCCAACAACAACATAGTGATGGTAGACGTGGAAGGTGATTGTCCACTCAGCGTCATTTAGAAGAACTTTATGAAAAAAAAAAAAAAACATTAATCAATTCGTGAGGGAGGCACCCGTCAGTGAAAGGAATGAGGAAGAGGAAGACAGAAAGTTCTCAAAGTGCAACAGAAAGAGGCCTTTTGTTCGTTCTTTTTCGATTAGTCGAACCTGGGCCGGGAATTGTAGTTCTGCTAAGTCTAGTTCACCGAAACGCTAACCTGGCTGACAGACTCCGAATGATTTGACATTTTATTTTTCTCCATTTCAGTGCCAAGACCTTTTTTTTTTTTTTTTCCTCGTACATCATACAAATATTCCACAAATCCCAGTTTTGTCAAACGCTGTGCTGGTATTTACACGCATCACATTTATAAATATTGTGCACTGTGAAGTAACGGCGGTCCTGAGACGCGCGTCACCGCGCCGTCCGCCAGAGAGTCTCAGTTAAAGATGGCTTCCTCGAGACTTAAGAAAGAAAAAACAAACAAAACAAAAAAAAAGATTCAAGTCATCAGCCGCTCCTTTCCTTGTCTGGTTTCTCGTTTTCTTCTTTACCACAGAAAGAAATCCAAGTTCGGAGAAGAAGAAACGGATCCTTCCCGGAAATCCGCATGTTTTTACAACAACAACAAAACAACAAAAAAGAGGAAAACATTTTGGGCTGTCTATTGTTCCTCTGCTAGTTCTGCTTGTTCCCGTACACGAGGGGGATGATGTAGACGGAGATGTCGTCTCCGGAACCCAATCTGTCGTTGGATATCCTCCAGCCGCGATCCTTCAGCTCGCCGCGCGCCCTCATGACCAGGTCCTGAGCGGCCATTGTGTACCTGTCAAAGCAGACGGGATTAATGAAACGCCGCGTAGATACGCCGTGTGCCAAACTGGAGGCCCGAGGGCCAACATCCTGCCCGCCGCAGCATCTGACGTGGCCCACCGGACTCCAGAGGGACGCGTTTACGGAACCTTCCAGGTGACGTGTGAACTTAAATATGATCTCGTCAATCAAATCAATGTGGGTTTTATCTGTTTACTGCCAAATTTCATCAATCTGTCTCAGTTTTTTGCGATTCTGTGACAGTAGAAATGGACGGATCCTCGCTCTATTTCGCGCCAATGAACGATCGCGAGTTTATCGCAGATTTGATTAAAAGGCCTCTCAAGTACGGAGAGGCTCATCAACACAGCGACCATTTTATATTTAAAAATGATGTCATCGGATGGATCAAAGTATAAAGTTATGTGGACAGTTTTGGTATTTTAAAGCCCAAAATTAAAATGGCTCATGTAAATAACATAGTGACGATCAGGAAAAGAAATATTTTTACAGAATTAATATGAAATTTATGAAACTTTAACTGTGTCTAATGAAGTTTTAGTTGAAACAAGCTTGTTCTTCATTTGATGGAGTTTTACGCAGATAAGAGTAGCGTTATCTTGTAATTAAATTACTCAAGTAAAAACAAAAATCACTCTTAAACTTAAACTACTCCTCAAAGAGGAATTTTACCAAAAGGTTGCTGGAGTAAATTAGCTGAGTTAATGCCCAACTCTGCATACTCCCACCCGCAGGTGGCAGTAGTTCTTACTTCTACTAGTCTGCTGACTCAGCCTTATCCGATCGATACGGCAAGTAACAAAAAGTCCCGCCTACCACCACAGCGCAATTAACACCACAAAATATTGCAAAAAACAATTGCAAAATCTCGCAGGAACCGAAAAAAATCTCTGTTCAATACTGTTTAATTGTACAAATGCAGACATGTCTATTTAATAATATTTTAGCAGTTTGTTAACTGGATTTTATCAATATTCTCCAGCAAAACCAACCCGTTAAGAACATTCATGATCCGTGACGTGGCCAAAAATTAAAATGAGTTTCAAGGTGATATCCTGATAAATACAATTGTTTCACAAAACAAATGAGTAAAAAAATCACATTGGAAACTAAAAAAAATTAATTGAAAGTGTGAAGCTGTGCTTAGAGGAATATTCTAAAAAGACGTTAGAGAAACGTAATTTTTTTTTCTTTTTCCCCAATAGTGAATCTAAATGTTTTGAAAATTTTGCATAATCTGAGCCAGATGAACTCTGTCAGGAGAGACCGGGGTGAGCAGAAGTTCAGGCCTGACTGGCTGCAGCTGCGCTCGGACCGGGGCAGGACAGGACGGCGCGGGGGGAGGGAGTCGGGTCGGGGTGGAAGAACGTGCCTGTGCTGGTCGTCTGGGTCGCAGTTCGCCAGGAAACCGGCGACCGCTTCGGCCACTTCCTGGTTAGAGAGGACGTCCCACAGGCCGTCGGTTCCCAGAATCAGAACGTCATCTGGTCCGTGCTCGAACTGCGATAAGGGGTAAACTCTGACCTGGAGGTGGACGAGGGGGGAAAGGCAAGAGTGGAGATTGAGAAGTTTTAGAATAAAACTCAATAGAAATACAGTAAACAGCCACAGCATTATGCTATTTCTCATAGTAGTAACATAAGCTGAGTGGATTTACTTCCCATCTTATGTCCGACATAAATATTGTCTTGAATTTGGCTCAAACCACCAAACAGCAATGCAAGCTCCAAATGCTTACTAATGCATAGTTAAATCATGAAAAATTATTTATAGGTCAATTTGTCTTCAGAAACAGTTGCTGTGTTTAGCCAAGATGAACAAAGTTCACTGGGGGTTTGTGCTCCAGTCCACTGACATGTTAGTGAAAAATATTTTTTGTGTTTTCTATTTTAAGATTTTAATTTGTCAGTGAAAATTTCCAATGCCCCCACAAAAAAAAAAAAAGTTAAATAATTTCTAAATAGTAGAAGGCCGCACAAAATAATTTCAAGGTCTGCAAAAGGGCCCACGAGCCACATTTTGGACATCCCTTGTAAAAGGTGTGAAAATTTCAGTGTTTTTCCATTTTTAAATGATAAAAACTAGAACACGTTCCTGTAAATGCCATATTTAGCATGCTGCACAGCTTCTAAACACTTTTGAATTCCTGTATGAGAACTACAAGGAGCCTTTTTTTAAAAAATAAAATACAATAAAATAAAGAATTTTTATTCTGTAAACTTTCTGCCCACACGACCTTTATCCCTCTGATCCGGAGGGAGGGTCACAGCAGACAGACGACCTCGCAGCCGAGAAAAGAGCTCAGCGCTCAGCCGCTGTGAAGATAGATAAAGAAATGTGACGGCCCTCTGTCTGGGTTACTCAGTGAACCTCATGACTTCAGTCAGGCTTCCCAGAACAAAACACAGATGACCCAATAATTCCTGGATTTCTCAATACAGCAGCAAAAAGCTCTCTTGTGGATTCAGATCGAATCTTATGTTCAAACTAAAAACAAACAAATCAATTGAACACCTCATGCTGACTGTTTTTCAGCACCAATTAAAACATTACTCTGAATCTTCAGAACGACGTCTCTCACTGAAGCGTCTCGACTCGTCTCAGATGAACGAGGCTTGACCTGCGCCTGAACTCGGCAGCAGCGGAGCGAGGTTGGAGAGAGGTCACTTGGTGACTAATGCAATCGTGTGCAGTCTTTGCTACGAGGGGAAAGGACTGTGGGGAGGGTTAGAGTGCACACTCTTCAATGCAAAGGGGCCTTTATAATTGGTATCTACGGAGATAAATTAGGGGCAGAGATTTTGTAAAAAAAAAAAAAAAACTTTTATTTGAGAGTGAAAAAGTTTGGAAATTGAAAAATATTTTTAAAACAAAAACAAAAGTTTCAAAAAATACTTTCCAGAGTCAAGGTTTGTTTCTTTTTTTTTTTCATAAACAATTTTTTTTTATCTCTTTTCAGCTCTGTAGTTACCTTGCGTATTTTTGTTTCATCAAACGCGTGCAGGTCCTGTCAGTCTTTTTTCAGTACAGTTCAGTCCTGTAGAACTGTCTGCGTAAAGCTTAAAGTTTTGTTTCACTTGTAAATCCAAGTTAGACAAAGAAAAAAATTATTTGTGCCCAAAAATCTGAGAAATGGTGTGAATTTTATAAATATAAATACATGAAGCAACAGGAATTCATGACAGACAGTATTAATATTATTATTTATTATATTATCATAATAAAAAAAAGCCAGCTTTAATTATGAGACTTGTTGGTTACAATTTTACCTTGACACAAGTTTCATTTTTAAAGGATTTAAAGGACTGGAGCTACAAAAAAAGGAACATTTTGATTTTAATTAAATCCAGTAAGTTGATTCCGTCTATATTACACAGTCAGAGGTAGCTAAAAGCTGATAAGGCGATTCATCGACCTGACTGTGCAGGTTGCTAAAGATAAGAGACGTGGAAATAGTCGGCATACCTCTGGGCAGCAGGACAGAAAGGGTTTGATGTAAATGTTGGAGTCGTGAACTCTCAGGTTGTGGTCCCCGAAGCCTCTCGTGACCCCGATGGTCGCCAGCACTCTTGCCTGCAAAACGATCAGAGACATGCGTTACTCGGCCACCATCCGGGATCCGTTTCTTTCGTCTCCTCGTTTCACGTAAAACTTAAAACGCCTCAGAGCCGTCAGAGAAAGGCTCAGCCTTCCAGGAAACCTTTTACTCGTGAACTCGGCTCTGATCATCAGAGCTTTGGATCTGTATTTTTAAAGGTCAGGATAAATTACGCACGTCTGACAAAGAACAGACCACACAGTTAGGAACTAAGTCACCAGTGGTCGTTCATTATTTAGAAATAAGAAATTTCAAACAACATATTTGAGAATACCAATATAAATATGTACCATATGGTTATTTTCTACGACCTTTCAAAGCAGCAGAGCCGCTGATGGAATAGATTCACATCTTTCTCATCTGGCTTTGACCTTTTCAACACATCTCAAGTATGCTGCACTGTACTCACGACGTCACAGCCAGGAGGGAGAAGCAGCAGGGAATGAACAATGCGCTGATCGCATGACTGCAATTTTTAAACTCTGAGCCAAAGTGCCAATAAAATTGCTCCATACTTTCGTTATCTAATGTTTGCGTTCTAGTAGCGCCGCAACAAAAATCTTCTTGGGGTGAACAGTAAAAATCTTAGGCTTACACAAGTTAAAATAAATAAATAAATAAATACAGCAAGAAAGTGTTATTGACAGTGAAATAACCTGCCAGTGGAACTAGTACTTTTCCATCAATACTAAGGATTATTTTTTTAGATTTATTTTGTTATATATGTTGGGTTTTATATTTATGTCTTGATTGATCAACATGACTATGCCTTTGCATGAACTTAACATGGCCAAGCTTTTTTTCCAGTGGGGCTGTGGCCCCCTTCAGCCCACCTCTTGGGAGCACCACTGTTACATTCCGATAAACCTGAAATCCCTGGGTCATTTTGTCGACCAAGTTTTCCTAAGAAAATATTTTTATAGTAAGATTTAATTAAACACAGGCTGACAACATTTACTAAATAAGTCGATTAAAAAAATGAAGCAGTTGGAATTTATTTAGAACAAAGCGGTGGTTTTGAAAATCACCGAACACAGCAGGACTGAATACAAGATTTGAGATTTTAATAAAAAATAAATAAAAGTATTCTTTTCCTTTAACTTCCGAATTAAGGCATAAAATCTGAAAAACGACTGATTAAAGTTTTTGGCTACGATTTGACAAAAAGGGCTCAGGAGGTATACATAGAGCCACGTAGCTGAAACATAAGTCACATTTCTCAACTTTCATTGGTTCCTCTCTGCAGCAAGCGGCACACATGAAAGTGCTTTCATTCAACTCTGGCTCTCTTCCAGCTACATTATCCCCACGTACATAAACACCGTCCTGTCAGGCGGCAACTGATGTTGGAAAAATAAGCCCACAAATGAGTCCTGCTGCCCCGAACGATGCCAGGCGGAGAGGTTCGCTTACAGACAAGGCTTTCACCGCAGCGGAAGTGACTGTCAGCGAGAGGCTGCCGGGCAACGCTTACCTTCTTCCCCTCGCCGTAGATCAGAGGGAACTTCAGGTCATCGTCCTCGATGGTTTTATAGGCCCTGAGCGAGAGAAAGACGATGCGTTAATGGATTTCTTATGATTTGAAGTAGCTTTATGTCAGCTTTGACATTAAGAGCGCTGTATTGTTAACCCTATTTCTAAGTCAGTTTGGATAAAAGCATCTGCCGAAATCATACAACACAAAGACAATCAGCAACACAAGCCAGTAAAAACGTATTCTTTACGTTTCACATATTGAATACACAGGGAAGATGCTGGAATCATCTGTTTGGGAACCTTGTGGATTCTCAAAAAGCCAGAGGGGATCACTGTGGCTCAATTGCTTGGCAACCAAAGCAACCCACGGTTTCTTTTTTTTCCCCTGAAAAACGAGCATAATGCAACCAAAAGCTTGAAGAGGGATGTTGAGAAAACTGTAAAAGACATGAAAAATCTGAATTATGCAGCAGTAGCCAAAGGGCACAACTACATTAGAAACTTTGAATGGCGTTTCTAATTTATACTGTGTTCCAAAGTATTGTGCAGGTGATATGTTCTCAGATTTTCTTAAAAGGTTAATGCAAATGATGGTCAGTATAATGTTCAAGTCATGAACTATTACTGTATAAATCAAATTTTACAGAACAAAGCTCCCCATGAGAACAGTTTTTTTTTTTAAATAAAAAACTCAAAATACACTGTTCCAAATTATTATGCACAGCAGATTTCTAAACATTTTATGGATTACAAAGAACTGCAAACGGTCATTCTTTGAATGTGCAGCATTAAGTTGGTCACATGTACCAAAATCAAAATCTATTCCAATCAAAAACATCTTAAAAGACCAAGTTGCATGATAAGACAGGACCCTTTTTGATATCACCTGCACAATTCTTGCATCCATTGAACTTGTGAGTTTGTGGAAAGTTTCTGCCTGAATTTATTTACAGGATGTCAGAAAACCTTCCCAGAGCTGCTATTTGATATGAACTGCATTCCACCCTCAGATCTTCTGCTTGAGGAAACTCCAAAGGTTCTCAATAGGGTCAGAGGTCAGAGGAGGATGGTGACCACACCATGAGTTTCTCCCCTTTTGTGCCCAAAGCAGCAAATGACACGGTGGTATTCCTTGCAGCATTCCTTGTCATGCATCAAGATGATCTTCCTACTGAAGGTTCGGCTCTTCTTTTTGAACTATGAAAGAAAGTGATCAGTCAGAAAGTCCAAATACTTTGCTGAGGTCATTTTCACACCTTCAGGGTCTCTGAAGGGGCCGACCAGCCGTCTCTGCCTCTTTCTCTCTCTCTCTCTCCCCATGATTTGGGCCCCAAGCATGACTCCACCACCTCCTTGCCGACGTCACAGCCGTGTTGGGACGTGGTGGCCATCCACCACCAATCCACGACCGCGTCCATCTGGACCATCCAGGGTTGGACAGCAGTCATCAGTGAACAAGTCTGTTTGAAAATGAATCTTTATGTACGGCTGGGCCCACAGAGACAGTTTCTGCTTGTGAGCCCTGGCCAGGGGCCCAATAGTCGGCTCAGACACCACAAGCCTCCGGAGGATCCTCCACCTCGAGGTTCCAGAGGCACCAGCAGCTTCAAATCACTGTTTGCTACTTTAAGGGCATTTTATCAGCTACTCTCTTAATCCCATGAATTTGTCTAACAGAAACCTTCCTCTTTAGCCTTTATCTGTACAAACCCATCTTTGTTCTGAATCAGCCACAAATCTCTTCACAGTACGATGATAACGCTTCAGTTTTTATGAAATAGCTATTGTTTTCATACTTTGTCAAATAGCACTACACTATTTGAAGATTTTCATCAGCAGAGATCCTTTCTCTTTCCCATATTGCTTGAAACCTGTGGCCTGATTAATAATGTAGAACATCCTTCTTAAGTAGATTTGATTAATTGAGCACATCAGACACACTAATCAACCAGCTCTGAAATTAATTATAGTGATTCAAAGAGCCCTGACACACAATACCATCTATGAATTTAATGGCACAACAAAAAATGTAACCTTTATGACACTTAAATCCAATTTGCATAATTTGGAATGCAGTGTAAAGTATGTGGAAGCAGCTTAGCTGTAAAAGAGCACAAAGCTCTGGCAGGATTTATTTCAAGATGGCTAAAAACAATCACAGAAAGCTTAATGTTTCATAGAGTGTAGCAGACATCAATACCGAAAGCCAGAGCCAGAATTTTCTGAATGAGTAGAATGTTTTAGAAATGTAAATAGCACAAAAACGCTAAAAGTCCAAAAATTAGCAACCAGAAAAGTCGGATGCCTCACAGCTTTCACATAATAAAAGCAACATGCCGATGATAATCGAGTTGTCGTCGCACCGGTTTTTATCTGGCTCGGCAAAAATGCTTTTCCATTTGAGCAGGAGTCTGGGTTATTCCTACGTTTTGGGTCAAAAGAAGCTGGAAAGTTTGGGCCTCGCTGTTATAAATAAAGTATACCGTGCCGTAGCCTCGCCCCTCCCATGCCGAATGCATTTCAGCTGCTCTGAAACACAAGAGCAGGATGGTTTTCACATCACTGCTGGTTTCACTCAGAGAGCCCATATGTTTCCAACTCAGGCGAGCGCTAAAAACGCTGCACTCAGCAGTTCTCGGAGCGGCGCAGGCCATCAAGGCGAGCACAACAGAATGAGACTGCTCCGAGCAAAAACAGTAGATGTTACGTAAGACTGACGGCATCTACTTTAAAAGGACCAAACCTCCCTGGAGAGCTTTTGAGGACGGCGTCCATTTTGAGACCCGCGTCTTGCGAGATGAACCCTGATGTTCCCCTCACCGAGCGCAAAACCAGCAACACAAGTTGCCGAGCAGCTGGGGAGTCCGAGCACAACGCCGAGCGTTTTCACACTCGACGGCTGTTTGGCAGCCCGAGCCACAGCAGCGCGTGACTAACCAGAGGTGAGTTGAGTGGGGAGGAGGGCTGACCGTCTCCTCCTCAGTGGGCGACTTCAGGCCGGAGGGAGAGAGGAGCTGTGATTACATCTAGTTAGAATCCATCACAATGACTACACCATCTTACAGTGCCTTGTCTGTTCAACGTTTTTACGTCAGAAGCACAAACTCATGCACATTGTGTCGATGACGCAAAGCATTCAAAGACGGCCTCTACCAGACTTTGGACATTGAGAGATTAGATCATCTATTGACTGATTAATTTATCGGTTTTTCTTTCAGCAAATTGCGTTTTTAGAGTTAACAAATTTATCGATTACTAAATTAGTTGATGATTATTTCAATGATCGACTCAACGCAATTAATCTGATTAATCGTTTCGGCCCGGCGAGAGATGGAAACTTTCTGCCTCCGCTGCAAAATGGCTCAAGCTTTTCTCCATCAGATGGTGAGCAATTTTCTAATCTGACCGCCACGTCTTGGTCGGTTTGTAGTCAGGAGTTGTTCAGTAGCGAACATGAGATGTTCAAATCCGGTCAAATAAATGTTTTTTTAGCCTGATTTAATCTCCTCTTCTCAACTTTCTTCATCACTCGTTTGCTGTGTTGTTTTGGTCCATGATACCGTTTGTTCTCCAATGTTCTCCAACGCGCAACACCTGCATCACACTGCATACCTGTCACGTTTTGTCCGGGAACTTTAAGCTCCTGCATCCTTATTTTCCTGTAAATATTGTGAGGACCCAGAGTTTGACTGTGACCTCACAGATGAGACCTTTATATGTTCAATTTGGACATGAACGAATCAAAATTTTTGAGTCCAAATTGCTCGAAACGTGACTTTTTGTTGACCTTTCCAGACTGATTAACATCAGCGATGTTGTTTCTCATCAGTTCCTGAATTTGTTTGATCTTGCATTTTGAGCAGCGAAGCCGCAGCAGAACTGGGTTGTGGGAAGAACCTGATTAAAAATACATCACAAAGAGTCTGCGCTGCGGAGACGACAAGCAGGCTGAGACCTCTGGGCCCGGCAACGCTGACCTACATGCGCCGAGGCGAAGCCGAGCCACCGAACGGGAGCGGCGATGAGGAGGCACCGGAAATAATCCTGCTCGTCTCCTCCGTTCCGCCGCCACCGCGGTGTGTGTTCCTGCAGGTGGGACACACACCGCGGCCTTTGTTCCTCTGCATTTTCACATCTGTGTCTCACTTTTTACGGATGGTACTCCTTTTTTTAAAAATTTTTTTATCACTCCTCCAGAAAAGCGTCTGAAGGTGAAGGAAGCTTTTCCTTCCTGGTATCCTCACCTTGATAATACTGCAGAAAAGAGACTTTGTTAGGATGACTCACAAGTGGAAAAGAAGCCGGCCCACAGCATCACAAGTCCTCTGCTGTACCTAACAAGGTGGATTAAGTTTTTATCCACATGCTCATCTTTTGCTTTGCACAATATCCGAAAAGTTTAATCACAGCTTCATCTGACAAAACATGTTTTGCAATCGACCTACTAGCAGCTCTTACAGCTGTTGACCTTCTGACCTTTCCAGAAACTGAATGACTCGGTTCAGTTTCTCAAAGTATCAAAGTTCACAAAGAATTTGCTGCAGAGATTTCTGCCGAGGTCAAGATGAAAGAGAAAACTGAACGGCCAAAAAGAAGCAGCCAAAGAAGAAAAACAGGAATAAAAAAAAGCAATGTGGACGGAAAGTAAAAGATGGAAAGAAGGAAGGAATGGAAAAAAAGAAGGACAGAAGGAAAAAACAAAGCAAAGAAAGGCAGGATAATAGGAGCCAAAGGAGAACAAAGGAAAGAAAGAAGAAATGAAGAAAAAGAATCACTGAAGGAATGGCAAAAAGGAAATGAAAGAAAAAATGAGAGACCTGGCAGAAAGCCAGGGAAGAATGGAAGGAAGTGTTGTAGAAAAGAAGGAAGAACATCTAGAAATAAAAACATCTCTAACGTATCCAGATCTTGAAAATAATTCTAATTCTAGGTTTTTCCTGCCTGCTTTAAGCAGAGATTGGGCTCCTCATGTCCATCTCTGTGGCTTTTTCCTCCCCCCCCAAAAAAACAGATGGCACGGCATAAAGATAGCATCTAATATCTATTATGGAAACTCCAGGATGCCTCCACCTCCCCCGACCCGTCCTCCTGACTGGACGGAGGCCAGATGAACCAGCGTCCACGTCGTGCTCCGTCTCCTTCTGCCTGGTTAAATGTGTGCGTTTTGGTCAGAAAATGGTTATTATTTGAAGTGATGTTTTCTTGTCTTTCTTATTTTGAAGGGTGGCTTAGAAAACTTCGCCCTCTTCTAATTTTATATACGAAGAAACGGATGACAGCCTTAAATTGTCAGAGAAAAATTAACCGACTTGAGAAACATAAAAGCATAAATTCAAACTAATTCAAATTTATCTCGCATTTGACTAAATGTACTCAAATTCTGTACGTCGTCATCGAAGTGCAAGAAAGCTGTCGAGGTTGCACTTCTGAGGAACGGGCATTAAATCGACGAGTCTTGAAACAAACCCACCATCCCGACATGGTGAAGTCCCGGTACAGCATCCTCTTCCCCACCTCCTTCCTCTGCACGCGCCGTGGGAACTCCAGGTGTGTGAACTCGTTCCCCAGCAGGTGTGGCTGCATGTACGCCTTCGAAACGAGAGGAGAGAAAAGCTTAAGAGCGGAAGACACTGCACCAGGGGCTGGGAAAACGTTTAAAGATTCTCCTTGAAGATGATTCAGTGAATGAGGACGCATCGGAGCTGACTGTGAAACCTGATTTGTTTGAACTGTTTTGATTCAGTTGAGCTTTCAGATGCGGCAGCTTCATCTAAACCTTCAGCCTGCGTGCTGCACCCGATCGATCCGTTTGATTAGATCTCGGATTTTAGATATGATTTATCTGAACAGATACTACTGGATAAAGATACTCTAATTCAAACATTTACCTGAAAAACTTTCTCACAATCGAGATGTGTTACTACAATACGATCTTCCTTTGTTATCTACAAATCCAACAGATTCCACTTCGGTCACGTAAATGATAAATGTACATTTGGATTCCCGCGTTACTTTTGGAGTACCACAGGGTTCAGTGCTTGGTCCATTTCCTTTTCCTGACCCTCCTATATTCTCCTACCACTGTCAAAATTTGTTTGTTTTTGATTTTGCTGTTATTTCAGGGTGCGGATCAAAAAAGCAGGAAGTGGACGATAGCTCATGGCATTCTGGGTAAATACAACCAAACAAAACAATCGTGAGAGCCTAGCGCTGGCGAGAGAAATGGCTTGTGATCTTTTGGCAAAAATAAATAAATAAATATAAATCCAACAATCGCTAAAACCCGACGCTTCTGTATTTTTGTTTACATTTTGAGAAGAAGGAAGTTGAGATCATGTCTTCTTCAGAGGCTTTTATGTTCTTTCTCTCAGTGGCTCTTGGAGTGGCGCCGCCACAGACCCGGAGGTGGAAAGGTGACGGGTTTGATTTGGTTGACAGTGCGGTGGGAACGCGAACCGCGCTACCTGAAAATGTAACAAACGTTGCAATTTTTGTCTCCAGTCTAGCAGGTGTGAAAACACCCTCAGATTTTAACTTTTTGTTTTAACTCTTCGTAGAACAAACATCCGTTTACCTGCAACACCTTCGTGTAGGGGGAGATCAGCCAACAACGCCCTGTTCTCCTTCTCCAGATGACACACTCTGCCCTGTCATTCCTCTGCTATTGGCCGAGCCTTCGCTGTGACTAACTGGATATACTCCTTCATTCTGCTGCTTTTAAACAAGCTCGGAGCTTCTTCTGTTGTGTTACTCAGCTACATGAAGCCACTGATGTAGCAGACTTTTGGATTAGTGTGTCTGTGTGTGTTTTTGTGTGTGTGCGCTCAAATTCCTAGTCGGTTGTAGCAGACGGCCACAACAGAATGCAAATTATTCTCTCTTGACGCTACATGCTCGTCCAGGAGGAGCGAAAGCCGTACGTCGGTGACTCTGGTGGGTTTGCTATAAAGCCACCAGAGCTTGGGTTGATTCCTTCTTACCAGAAACTGCAGCCGCTTCCTCTCCGACTCCGGCGTGAACTCCGACGACATGGGAACGACTTCCCCGGCTCGTACAATGATCGCTCTGAAGGAGAGAGGCAGACAAAGTTCTGTTCAGCCAGACGGACGGAGACACGGTTGGGCAAAGTGCAAGCAGACATGAGCGCTTGTGGCGCGCTTTAGAACTCGTGGTTGGTTGGAGGGAGTGAGTCGTACCTGCTGTCCCCGGCGTTGCCGACGTACAGCTTCCCCTGCAGACAGGCGACCATTAGAGCGGTGCAGCCTCCTGAGATGTTGAAGGACGCCTTCTCCTTCTCGATCTGCACGTCCTGACACACCATCACACACACAGGATGCAAGCACGTCATTTGGACAAGTTTTCCTGGTTTATGCTAAACATTCTTTTTTTTAGACAAAGAGAGTTAAGAATTAAAGCTGAACAATCAATAAACATTCTGTGTCAGCATGTCTACAGGTTCTGTCAAAACTCCATGACGGACGGATTGATGGATGGATGGATGGATGGATGGATGGAATCCAGCCTCTCCTAGACTGTGTAGGAACCCAGCTGTGCTAATATTCAAACTACCTCTATGTGTTTATCATTCATTCATTCATTCCTCAGTCTCAGTCAAGCAGCTACTGAATAAAGGGAATCCAGAGACTGAAGGTTTACATAGGCTGCTGCTTATTCTAGCAGTTAATTAGTCTTTATTGATAATAATAATAATAATTAACCCCAAAATAATTAATAAAATTTATAAATTATAAAAACACATGTCCATTAATTAGATGAATAATTGCCCTGCCAGTGGTCTAATCAAAGCACCAGCCAATATATGAGCCACAGCTACCTTGTCAGCTCTCTCTGACGCCTTAATCATTCCCAAACAGAAGCAGGGAGACGTCCCAGGAATATAATTGGACCCCCGGGGCGTTTCTGTCACAATCGGCAGATCAAAAGGGACTGAAAATGCTCTGAAGTGCATGTGACGGCACAAGACAGTTGGAGCGTACCGCCCTCTGAACCTCCGGTAGGTGACCAGTGTGTCACGGTACATGAAAGTTCCCCCAGATACGGAGGCCGTCTGATATCATGTTGATATCAGGAGTTCTTGTACTCCTGACAAGAACTCCACTGCCTGGTGGGTTAGAGGTCGGCAGGAGGTGGTGGTGGGCTGGTGAACGAGTGTGTCCTCCAGCCCGGGTGAATTATGAATCCACAGTGAGCCACACATACACACACACACGCACACACACTGGTGCAAGCCCACTGTTGTAGATGCATTTATTACATCTAAAGACAAAAATGACAAAACCTCCACAAAGAACTCACATATAAGTAAACTACTACTGCAAATTACAGAGAACAAAACAAGAATCCAAGAAAGCAGAATCTTTGAACAAAGAAAATGACAAATCGACTTAGTAGGGCTGAAACAATTAATTAAATTAATCATGATGAATTGATTATTCAAAAAAAAAATCGTCAACTAATTTAGCAATCAATTAATCTATAGCAGGTGTACAGAGGCCCTGACAAAAGGTAATGTACTGCAAGAATAACACCTCTAGAGCAGCAAATAAGCCAAAACTGCACAAACAATGTAGAAATTTTGCATTTAATATGGAAAAAACATCTCTGTCTGTAAATTTGTCATACCTAGAACTCCTCAAGTTGCAGATTTTAGCTTTACCCGGTTCTGATTCTGTAAATCAAATCTCTTTTCAAGAACCTTTTGCTGCCCAATTTTTAATAAGTTAACGCAAAACGTAAATGACAAATAATCACTAAAATTTAGTGATGTTTTGCTGAGCAGAAAGGGCCGAGCTTTTACCATGTTGATATCAGAAGTATTTTTTAGCATCCTTTGCTAAAAATGATCAAGCGTTCACTAAAAAAAAATTATATTGTTGCATTTTAGGCAACAAAATGTTTATTTATTTTCTTGTGTAAAAAAAAGAGAAAGGAATCAAAAGTATTTATTGGCATGTTTTAATGTATTTCTAATAAGAAAAAGCTTAAGTGGTTGAATGGAAAATATGCAGAATGTGGCAAATTTTTAAAACCGATCAATGGATTAAACGGCTAATCGTCTGATGGTGACAAAGTCAGGCTTTGCAAATATTCAACCAGCTTCAAGTGTCAAGTTGTTCCCGTGAAAAACAAATTGGGCAAAAGAAGATTTATTATCTGCATTTATTCTGCTGTTCCCAATGCCACTGTACAAAAATAGTCTGCAAACTGCAATAGTAATATCACAGATCACAAGTCATGTGGCAAACATGCAACAGAGGCACATCACTCTGAACACGGCATCCCCACTGCTAAACACGGTGGTGGCAACATCATACTGTGGAGGTGCTTTTTTTGTGTCTCCTGGTGGCATTGTAAACAACTGTCTCCATGTGGGAGGTAGAAGAGCTGCACTTCCCTAGATCCTGATGTGAGAGGCCCCCTGGTGGCCAAAGAAGCTCACTGCGCTTCAAGAAGGCAGAAGTCCAACGGAGACACTCCGGATCATAAAGTACTCCCAGAAAACTTTTTATTCATCTGCCGGCTCATAACCTGCCTGCATCATGGTTTACTAATGCCGAGACGAACTGTGGTTTTGAAACATCAAGGAAAAGAACATCTCAGCTTCTCAGAGAGAAAAAAAAAACCTTTTTGCGTTGAGGAACACGCAAAAAGCTGTGCACAAGCATTTAGGATCATCACTGAATTAATGATTTCCATCAGTTAGTTTGCCAGTGACTGATGTTGGCAGATGTTCTCTATTGATTTGCTCTCGCAACTTAAACACTGAACAGTTTGATTCTTTTCCTCCTGCTCATTAAATGCAACAAGAATTCCTAATCGATATTGGGAGTCAAAACCCTGATCGGTGCGTTTCTATGTGAAATGGGACATTTTCATAGTAATTCAATCATGAGCTGATCTTATATTTCATAGTTTGTTGATTCCACATTAAGGTGGGATTTCGTGCCCTCAAAGCAACGTTTAAACCACTTTCTTTCTATCTGTAGCTTTGAAAATAAACAAAAAACAAAAGCTATGACCTCAAAAGCATAAAATGGAAAGAAATAATTCACGAAGCGACGAGAAATGGCTGTCAGTAAATGATGGAAAACCCAGGCGACAGACAGAGTGGCAGGTAATTAACTGGATTAATAATTTTTTCACTAATTAGTCAAAGCTGAGACATAACACTGGCAAGACAGACGGCCCCGAGGAAAGTCTGGTGGAAAACAGCAAATTATTAAAAGCTGCTAAAATAACACCAACGTCAGATCCGACCCGACGGTCCGAATGTAGCCAGACCATTGAATGAACACGTTTGCCTGTTCGCTCAGCTTTCCAAGTTCACCCAACTTTTCAGTGGTTTTATTTGAAAACTTGAAGACTCTTTATCATTCTCCCTCCACATTGCAATTATGAAATATTGTTTTTCAGGTCTGTGACATAAACTCTAAATAAAACACAGATTGGTGAAAGGTCAGAACTCCATTCTGCTTTTAGGTTTACTTTTCTCAGAGCAAATTATAAAGATTTAAGCATTAGTTTGGGGTGAATCTTGCACAGAAACTTGAGAGCTGTGGACAAAACCCCAAACTGCGCTGATACAATCCCTTGCACTTATTCCCTCTTCAAAATATCTGTTATATACTGAGGTGAAAATGCTTAGTTTCCAGCTAAAATGATGGCAATTTATCCTGAAACTGCCTGGAATTGTGAAACTGAAATGTAAAACCTAATAATGGGCGAGGGCAGAATTAGGCTAAAGTGGACGAGCTCCTGGCTTGGAGAACACAGGAAGCAACTGCAGATTTATATATTTTGAGCTAATTAAATCAAAATCATCAACCCAGTTTTTTTCGCTCTCGTTTTCAACAAACAATTCTTCATCTTCATCAATCTGGTTCTGACCCACCGGTTCTGTAAAACATGACTGTGCACTGCCATCTGGTGGCCAAAACAAAGAAGCACATATTTCTGCTGCTGGAGGCCAGTAGGTCTTCATCTACTGCAGTTGTAGGTTCAGCTGAAATATTGAAATGTGGTATTTGCCCTTTGAGTTGGCGCATCTAAAAACATATTTATTGACACTTTTAAATCCATAGGCAACAAAATATCAGCGGAAAGTTGCACTGCAGCGGAAATCCAACCGAAAGCCAGGCGTCGGACTTCAACGTGCAACACTAAAAAAAATGCAATTACTTAAGCACATGAAGTCAGACAAATAGTTAAACTCCCTACATGTTGTTTAAATGGTCGCAGGTGCAGATGAAAGACGCCTAAAATGGTTTTGTGAAATTAGCCGGCAAAACGTATCGGCAGGGTATTTTCCAAAGGCAGGATCTCACTGCAGCGAATGTAAGCCACTCTGCTGTAAATATTTTATGTTCCTGGGGGAATTCACGCGTTATTATTTTCTACTAAAACATTACTATATCTTCAGTCACTGTACTTTCAAACCCCCAGAAACTAATCAGAAAACAGTCGGTGGAAATGCACCATCAGGCTTTTATTGCCTGAAAGCCGAAACTCATCACTGTAAACTGTGCTCTGATCCATCAATTCAGTTTCCTTGATACAGGCAATAAAACCCAACATCACCTTTTGGATCACCATAGGGGAAAAGTAATTCTGCTTTCTCAAGCTCTGACCTGCAGATCGTCAGCTAGTGTGGCTCATACGAACTTGAAATCATATCGATTGGGACACCACTCATTCCTTTAAAGAAATCAGTAAATTAAATACCTGATTTTCTATTCAAAACGAGAAAAACTCCACCAGCAGTATCGCAGCACGCATTTATCATGGACCTGTGAACTCACCATGTCTTTGAAGGCGTTCTCTATGGCTCCGATAACCAGGCTTTCTTGCGAAACTTTCTTCTCAGTGAAGAAGCGCGCCGGCGGGGCGCTGGGCGAACCCGGGGCGCCCGCGGCTCCCCGTAGCGATACGGCCCTAGACAGGGCGCGGGTGGACGTTGCGGGCTGGAGGTGATTGACGGGCTCCTCGTCCAGGCAGGTGGGCGGCAGCAGGTCGGGTGCGCACAGAATCTCCATCACTTCTTGAAGGTGCAGCGCAATGTGGTGATGGAGAAGACGAGACGCCATGACGGCAGCCCCAGAACCAGCGTGGCCATCGAACAGCGCCCAGTAGTGGAAGGTAAGATCCTCTGAGCCATCCTGGACGCAAGGAAGAACAATGATCGTCACAACAGTGTTAATTTTGAATTTAAATCTTATAATCATCAATCTTTCATAGACCTATTGGAGAGATTTGCAAGTTTTGGGCAGGATTTTGGCTGATTTTTTAAAAGTACTTGCTTGGTAAGGTGTAGTTGTTAGCTCTCTTTAAATAACTTGTTTCTGTTTCTTTAAGATGTTTTGTGTCACACACATCAGCTGCTGTCAGGTTCAAGTGCAGTCGACCTCGTCAGAGGACACAGAACTAAAGTCACAACAAGAAAAAGCTCTTCTAATCGAAGCAGTTAATACAATTTGTTTCTTTTTCTCTTCAAACTCAAAAAGAAATTGGCCAAATTTTCAGAACTCCAGACTTATGGAAGAAAAAGTACAAAGAAAAATAAATTGAAATTGAAAGACCTTCAGAAATGGTCCTGAATTAGCTGGTCAGTTTTTAAACTACCAGTAAGAAAACTGTGCTAATATTAAAATCTGACGTGGGAAACAATGTCAGTGGTGTTTCTCCACAGAGTTGGGAATGTAATTGCTACAAACAAGAGAGACAAGTATTGGTTATTGGCTGTAATAGCAATACTAACATCAGACATTGACATTGGCCAAGGTTATCATCTCGGTCCAACCCCACAGAGACGTTTCCTGAAAGAGCACTGAGAAATGGGCAAGTGGATAGATTTGTGCAGAGCAGACAACCGAGACAAGAGAATCCTCAAAACTTAGACAGCTGAAGACATTAAAAGCCAGTTCTGGCAAAAAGGTGTCAGAACTGGTGAAACAGTGTCTCACTGTTTTTGTGTATGAAAAGGTATACATACAAAGCACTTAGGGTTATGACTTTATGCCACATTAATGTAAATTAAAGAAAAATACAGTACAGAAGACAAAGAGATATAGAAAAAGCAGAAAGAAACGTGCAAGATCTCAATATTTTGTTTGTGAGCATAAGTAACCATCAGTCAGTGTCGATACAGTTTGTGCATCACTGTGAGAACCTTGTGTGCTCTGTCTGTTCTACCCCTTTGCTTTGGTTCCACTCTTGCATTTTGCAGGATTTAACAAGTCCAGCACAATGTAACACATGCTGTCCTCTTTGTTGATTTTCAAAGACTCTGCCTCCCACATGAAGTTTGAACAGAGTCTCCTGTGCGATGCAGCTCACTCACGTTACCCTTTGAGTCGGCCGTCTTCACAGAATGCAGTAAGTCTAAGGTCCTTCACTCTTCTGACACAAACTCTTCTGTTTCTGCATCAGTTCTGGAACAGACCAGCCACTGAAATGAAGTGGCCTGGTCCTGAATTACTCCCAAAGACAGAAGAACTGCACTGCAGAGTGCTCTAGCCGTAGTTGGAGTTTTATGCTCGTGTTTATCCACAGAGCAAAAAGCAGGGTTTTCTAAATATAGCACAGGCAGATTCTACAGCATGATTCCAGGAGGCAAAGAGAGGCTCCACAGTTCTCATATCGGTCCGCAGGCACTGCAGGAGTGAGTCATGAGAGGCTCTTGCATGTATTTGTTGTTGGCTTTTGGCGATGTTGTGTGAAGTAAGGACAGACTGAGAGAAAATGTAATGCAGGGCTACTTTTCTGTTGCCACAAAACCAGACAAACCGAAGAACAGAGACAGCGTCAACTCAAGCCATTGTTGAATACGATTCAACAATGGCTTGAGTTGACGCTGTCTTATTTGTTTTTGTGGAGCAGCTTTGACATATTATGTCAAAGCTGCTCCACAAAAACAAACAGCGGGGACTGCCAAGTGCAGGATGATGCACATCTTTTTGGTGAACTGTCTACAATGCACCTCTGACTGAAAAAAGATCAGACTTGAGGGCTGATTCACACGCAAGAGCTGCTGACCGCCGATGGGATGTGGAAAGGAAACGTCGCTCTACGCTCCAATGAACTGCTTGTTGGTCGGATTGAGGGGACAGCGGGTCTTCATCTAGTTTCACTCTCATTCTACTCTCATTCTACTCCCTGTAGTGTTCAACCCTCTCACACTCACATTGCAACAGCCAGAATCGACTTGCTCTGCGTCTTATCTGAGTCAAATTGCTACAGACTTTTGGGACATGTCACCAGATTCTGTGGCGTGAGCGTCACAACTCAGAGATACTTTCACCACTGCTTTGAAAGGAATGTAACTGCGATCCAGTTGTTGCAGTAATGACCCAAACACAACGTGTGTAAGGGTGTTTTCACACCCGGTAGTCTGGTAAACTTTGTTTGACTGCGGACCAACATTGCAACATCTGTTGCATTTCCAGCTGGTGCGGTTCACTTCTACACTGCTCTGAGGCAAATGATCCAAACCCTTTGTGAAACCTGCCCTCCCCTCACCTGCAGTGGTCCTGCACCAAGAACCACTGAAGGAAATTACATTAAAATCTCTGAAGACATGAGCACAATTTTCTTGTTTGAAAAATGTGAACAAAAGTGGAGTAACATGAGATTTTACCTGTTTTGTCTGCAGCAAAAGACTATAGTCTATTTCACCTGCAAGCGCTAGACTCTGTTTTGGTTGCATTTTCCCAGAATTCCCTACGCTATAGTCCACTTTCTGCTTTCGGAGCGTTCTCCTGTCCGCTTGGCGTTCACATATGCATTCGAATCATGCCAGTTTCCTTCGGCCGAACCGAGACCAAAGATTTTAGTTGGACCACTTTGCTTTTTTGGTCCACATCAAACCCGGTTACTATTTCACTCCTCCCCAATCAAACCGAACTTTGTACACAAACAAACTAGAGCTTGTTTGAAGTAGATTTAAAAAAACGGATGTTGATGCACCCTTAATCTCATTCTACACTACGCAGACGCTCTATCTGCGCTCATGAAGACTCACTCGCCTCAGTATGCTAACAGCTTGGACTGGCTGACGAGGCATTGGGTCCAGATTTATTCACACATCAACTTAACCCCAAACTGTTTGACCCCTTGAGGCCTTCCACAGAACTCTGAACTTTAGTCTTGAGTCAGTCATCTAAAAGAAAACGAGATGCTATCGCCAGAGATTCACCCGGTCCAGATTGTTATCTCTGACTGACTGCACACTTTGCACCACTCCTCGACATAAAGTCATACCACATGTAGCTGGGTTACATCAGGAACAACAATATACATGCATACAAAATAAGCTTAGTTAAAATGGGAAAAAAAAAGACATTGTGTGACATATTAGAGATCTCTGTCCGTCTCACTCACGCTGCTGTCCCGGAGGCCGAGGCTCTCTCCGTTGGGCAGGGAAGACCTCCGGCGGGCAGCGGGGTTTCGGTTTGGCGCTGAGCTCTCCAGACGCCTCCTTTTGAGCATGAGCACCTCGCAGCAGGCCTGGTCCTCGTTTAAGGTGCTCTTCCCAGCATTGATCACCCTAGATGGAGACAGAAGAAGCAAGAGAAGACAGTGCTTTAGGACGCCAGTGTAACACAATGATGGTCAAACACACATGAGCAATAAAAACTCAGCAAAAACGAGGACGGAAAACTTTCCAAGAATGTATGTGATGGAACTCCAAAGCATAAAACGTTTGCTGTTCCGTTCACCAGAACAAAACCTATCAATAAATACATTCATAAAATGTGATTATAAACATTTTATATGATACATTTGGACAACATATAGTCAGACTTACATGTTTTTGCCATATCTGCAGGTAACAAAGTATTATTACACAGGAAATCGTCCCATTGTACCAATTAAACAATTCACACAATTTTCCCCAAGATCAACATTGACAGAAAAAGAGTTATGCTAACTTTTAACGATCAAATATGGCTTAAATTATTATTTCCTTATTTTAATTTTTTTTACATAGAAATGCTATTTTCTGTCTAAGGAGGCCCCGTGTCATGTCCTGCAACCCACAAAATCATTTTTTATTTGCACACAAGAAACGACACAATCTTAGAAAAAGAAGAGAAATTTCACTTATAAAACATTCCCACTCATGCAGGGCAAAGGGAGCAGAAAGCTCAAACACTGCAGACTGTGAACAGCTGGGATCTGCTGCAGCAGCCATGGAAAAGCACTGGGTCACAGTAACTCTGCATTCCTGTCGGGTCTGTAAATATGCTGTAGTGGCTTTTCAAACTGGACCAGCGGGTGCTGAAAGAACAGAACTTTACGGATCAGCATCTGCTTCCATTAACTTAAATTTAGCCCAACTCCAGATAATCGGTCTTTATCTTTAGGACTGTATTAAATTACTGTGATATAAAACAGCAACCATGCACTGCAAAAACACAAACTCTTACCAAGTATTTTCGGTCTAGATTTTGGTGCAAATACCTTGGTGTTCTTGGACTGAGACAAAACTAACTTGCAAGTAACTTTTCAGGAATGTATGGGGCATTAATATTGACTAAAAAGAACCTTTTCCATCGGCAGATTATCTCACTTATAATAAGACATTTTTCTGATGTTATAAGTGAAATAAAATGCCTGAGGAACTTGTATTTTTTAATCCATTTAACATAATTATTACCTTAAAACAAGCTCCTATATCTTTCTGAAAATTTATTTGCAAGCTAGTTTTCTCATATTTCAAGTGTAATAACATATTTGCGCTAAAAATTAAACCAAAAATGTTGTACGATTTTTATTATTTTTTATTTTTGCAGTGTACGGATATGTGATTGAAGAGGAAAAAGTCAAATATTGTCGTGGCAACAGAAATGTTAAGCATTGCTTGTACAAATCTAATTTAAGCGATCATCAGCGGCTGTGAGGATAAGATTCTCTCTCAGTGGACGTTCTCCCTCTGCAGCTGAGAAAACACTCCGGGTCATCAGCCCGACGGAAAAATTGCTGCGCTGCTTTTCCCGTCAGTAAAACTGATTTTAATTGGTGTCACGAGTCACAGCAACTTAGAAATGCTTCTTTTCCCTCTGTTGTAACAACTCAGACAGTTTACATAACGCCTTATGATGCACATTGTGTTTTTTCTAATAGTAGTTTCTTTAAGATAATCTCTGCTTTTCCCCTCAGTCTCAAAAGTGCAGGTTGAAGAGCGGGATGAACTCCTTACAGCCTTTTACAACAGATTATAAATTCAGAGCAATTCTTTTAAGTGGCTTGACAGCATGCAGCTTTAAAACAATAGAAAACACAAAGCTGCGTCTTAGCCAATGAAACCGGCAGAACCCCGTGGCTCTGCGCCACGATGTGCAGGTTGTGTAAGAGCGATCCTCCGCAGGGAGCGACGCTCGGCTGACCCCGCGAGGTCACGAGATCACCACCGGCCTTTCATCTCCGCCGTGAGAGGACAAGCCGGTCGTACTGGGTTACCTCGCTTCCTCCACTCGACCCCGATCACATCCTCAGCGGTCCGATCCTCAACACTCACATGCAGCTGATGCTGCAGAGGACGTTTTTGTCCTCCAGATGTGTTTTTTGGTTTTCTTCCTCCAATCAATTCATACCAAGTGCAAACATCAGTAAGACAACTACTTCCAGGAGTGTGTTTTACATCAGCATCAATGGATCTGAAACTTTTTCACATTTTGTAAAATCAACGTTCAAATATTACTAGGAATGCAGGATGTATCGGCTCTAAGGGAAGAGACGGGAGATACGAGCGGAGATGGAAACTTTACTTGAAACAACGATGTTCAAGTACTTTTTAAAGATGCACATACTCATCAAAGTATGTGCATCTGTTGCCACAGTAAAGCTGGAGAATAGTTAGCCAGAAGATCTTAATACAGTTTTTCTTTAGCAGGACCGGGAAAGTTGGTCAGAGTTGATGGAAGAAGTTAAATACAATGCAAACTTGCAGGAACACCTGTTGTTTGCCACACTTTTCAGATTTTCCATTTGCGAATGAGTCAAAAGTTATTCGTCAGCTTAACAACTTTTGCACTTCTTTTTGCTGTCGAATCACATAAAGTCCCAGTAAAAAAACAAAACAAAACACATCTTTGGCTGTAACCTGACAAAGTAGTATAACTTAGAAGGGGTGCAAATCCTGCCAAGAATGCAACAAGAAACGAGTTGAGTAACTGATCGTGGGGTAAATACTTTGACATGCAGTGACTTATTTAATGCCGTCTGTCAAATATTAAAAGCCGCGTTTCAGCCGTGTGCGGACTTGCTGCTCATGCTGCCTTCATCCACACAAGTTGATTTTTCTTGAAATTTTCCACTGCTGCGCCGGAAAAGCGTTGAGCTCGTAGGAACTACGTGGGAGCTTTGTTTGACGTCTTGCAGACTTCAAAACTTCAAAAACATGGCAGGCGGATCAATTGGCGGCAGATGTTATAAATTACAGGCTGTCCTGGATCACTTTTTTGCTACTTGCTGCACAAACATAAGCTGGAGTGAACAGCCTGGAGGAAATTGGTTGCTGATAATTATAGGCTTTTGGGGTTAGTTATGAAAAAATATATATAAATCCTTGTTGCCTAATTGCTTATAATAGATTTTCAACAGTCATTATGTAATCTTTAATTTAGCTCTGCTGAAAACAAAAACCTAAAAAATGTATGTTTTTTAGTTTTAGGCTCCAGGTTGAAATGAAATCGACCAATCGCTCCTTCCTCCTTCCCGTACTGATGCAGGCGGTGAGCATGTGCCGAGTCTTGTGACTGTTGCTGTTCATGAGCCTCCTCCCGGCCCCCTTCCACTTTGCTGCTTCTTTTGATGGGAATGCAAACAATGTACAAGTAAAAAAAAAAAAAAAAACGCACAAAAACAGAAGGCAAAGAGCCAAGACGGATAGAAACTGCAGCCAGAGCTGAGGGATAAACTCACTGCGGTGAGTTAGAAATGCTGCTGCAAACAAACGAGAAGGTGGAAACTTGGCCCTCGTGTTTGTTTTGCAGAGAAACCTATTGATCGGTTATTGATCATACAGCTGCTGAGGTTGTGCATTAACCGTTGTGGATCAGTAGGTAAGAAAATAAAACACATATAGGAGCCGCAGGAGGAAAAAGCTTTGTTGATCTTTGCTCCATCAATATGACAGGAAGGGCAGATGTAAAGACAAGCTGAGCTTTGGACTGTTTGTTATAAAATTATTACTGGATAAACTTTAAAAATTATGCAGCTTTATGTTCTCAAAGCTAACATTTAATCAGTTAAACTTTCATAACAAATTTATGTCAAATCATGATTTCTTGGTTAATGTCAAGCTGTCATAACAAAGACATTTTGAATAATGCCAACTCTGCATTAAAAATGTTGTGATTTACCGAATGACACTTTATGACATCAGTCATAAATATTCATGAAGACTCACTCATGTTCACGACATGTGTGATGCCATGTTTAAGACGGCGTCATGACCGTCTTATTTACAACCCATCAAATAAAGTGTTACCGACATTTCTAAAACCGCGACGGATCGTTTTTTATAGATCTGTTTTCGCGCTGACTTGCGTAACCAGAACCAGAACCTCCTGCTGTTGAACTGAGCTGATGTTTCAGGTGTGTTGCCTTGTTCTGTTTGCATAAACCCAACACCCCGCTTCGCTCTGCAAACCAGAACAAGACAAAAAAAAAAAAAAAGAAGAGAAGAGGTCGATTTTTTTTTCAGTGGAAAAACAACTGCGGGGGTTGAGGAGATGCAGAAGAAGCAAACACTCTGCAAAAGTTGGGAGCGGGGCTTGTGTGCACACTTGAGACAAGAGTGAGCAATAACCACTGATCCAGAATGATCCGGCTCACTGGTCCAGACCCTCAAATAGGCATCAGAATCATCCTGATAACAGCGGCGCTGCTCTTCCTGCATCTCCAGGGACGGAGGCAGGAATGACCTCACAGTCTGGCTTCACTCCTGAAGAAGAAAAGCCAACTCTGATTTTAGTTCTGGCAGATAAAGACTGATTTGATCCAAATATCTTACTGCAGAGCAACAGTTGCTGAATATTTGCACTTGTAAATGCAGACTTAAATGTGAAGAACCATAAAAAATTACATCCGTTTTTTGATTCAGGTCATCAAAGATGTTATCATAAAAAAGGTGACCAGTGACCAAAAACAAAAGCAGCTTTCAAATGGATTTTTTACTTAAAGAAAAGTGTAAAAGCTATCCAAAGTTGTGATTACAAAAATTATATATAATGTATATAAAATATGACTTTAAAGAAATTTTACATCTTGATTTCACACGTTGAAATTTGGTCTGTGTCTCTTTAAAAACTCCTGCTTTTTCTGAAACTGCGCCTTCAGGAAGTCATCACAGCATCGCTCCTGTTTTAACCGTTTAGCAACGTTTTCACCAGGGCTGCACTGAGAAGTAGCTCGTATAACGAGCTCAGCATGGCTGAATCAAATCAATTCTGTACAGAAGAGTTGGACTCTGGCCTCCAGTTATCGCCAACAACTGACGGCATTTAGCAGCACCGAGACCGGTTACTTTTAGCCTGTGACTAGACTTCATTTTTAGGAAACAAGAGTCGAGGTGTCTGTTGAAAATAACAAACTTCGCCATTTTGAGAAACTTGCACGTCCCCTACTAGAGAATTTAGCTCATTCTACAGCAGGTTGTTGCTTCCTGGTTAAAAAGTAACAGGCTGTTTTTCTCAGTCTTCCAAAGACTTGATGATGTTGGTCGTGTGTTTATACTTTTACATATTCATTTGTCAGTTTTATCCCAGCAGACGTTCTTAAACCCTTCTTTTACCCTTCTTTTATAAATCAATGAACGGTTTAGCACCACAATACATCAAAGATCTGCTGTTGTTGTATCAACCTTCCAGACTCTCAGGTCTTCTGGTTCTGGTCTGCTTTGCATCCCCAGAACCAGAACCAAGAGAGGAGAAGCAGCTTTCAGCATCTATGCACCAAAACTTTGGAACAAACTTCCAGACAACTGTAAAACAGCGGAAACCCTGACTTCCTTTAAATCGCAATTAAAAACACACCTGTTTAGAATTGTTTTTGAAATGTAATATGTAACAATGTATTGTCTATTATATGTTGCATGACTTTGTGTTCTTGTGTTTATGATGTAAAGCACTTTGAAATGCCTTGCTGAAATGTGCTATACAAATAAAATTTGATTTGATTTTGATTTTAAAGCTGTGCAAGCAAGAATATCAAATTACCTCTGGTTCCGACATCTAAATTTAGAAAATCTTAAGTTTGGAAAAGAACAGGCTTTAACATGCAACCCTGTGACTTTGGAAGCCGTTTCTATGTCCGATGCTCAATGCTAAACAGGAATGTAACCAGAAGAGTCACTGAAGATGTCAAGTTGGAGCCTGAAGGTTATTTTGCACGTCTTTTTTCTTGTCAAAAAGCAGCATGTCCACACAGAAAGACTCTGGGATTTCTACAGACGATGCTTTTAGCAAAAATAAACATCTACGAAACAAAGAGAGAGAAGAAAACGCGTTCACTGCAATCGTAGCGGCCTCTGAAGAAAATGTCAGTGTAGGAAAGTAAAGGGTCAAATGTCACACTGAGCTGGACATTTGACCAGCTCAGGCAGGAGGTAGGAGCTCAGGCCCAATGCGGGATGTCGGCCAATCGCAATACATATGGAGAGAGAAAGGTGCCGAGGAAATGCTCTGAATGGACGATCATTCGTCTTCATCGGGCACTGAAGTTGTAATCGTGCTTCTGAAACCTCTGAAAAATAATCAAACCCTGAACTGATTTTCATTTACATGAACGAAAATAGTAAAGAGAGAAAACTAAACCTCTGCCAGCTGATGAAAAACAGCCAAAGTGAAACTCATTCGACATTTGTGCTTCATTCTGAGCTTCCTACAGGCAAAGTGAACACATCAGTATTATCACCCCGCAGGCACAAAGATGGAATTTATCCAATATCAGTAAGAGAAACAGATCAAGTCTGGATTCATTTTTGTTGTCTGTTTGTTTAAAGAAACAAGCGGATGGCGTGCAATAAGTAGGTTATTGGGTCACGTGCTGACAAACATAAAATGATTATTTTTTGAAGCCGAAGCAGGGAGTGAAAAAAATGACAAGCCTGCATGTTTAGTTGCAATGACCTTTATATTCAATACAATCATTTCTAATGTTAAATCGATGCATTCATCTGCACATCTGAGCACGCACGCATTCACACACACACACACACACACACACACACACACACACACACATACAGCAGGCCGATGGTAAAAGCGTGCTGGTGTTTGTGTTTACACCCGCCCGAGTGATCTCACTTTTCAAAGGACGCAACGAAAGATGGACGCGCAGGTTACTCACTCCGCGTATCCGGTGGCCCACGGCAGCCGCCGGGTCTCCTTCAGGATCAGGATCGGTCTCGCGATGTGATCCGCCGAGCACTCCACCTCGTCGGCGGACAGTCCCAGGAACTCCGGTCTGCTGTACGGAAATTTGAGCGGCAGCTCCGGGCCGCCGGGATGGTCTCCGTTAGACCCTGCGGCCATCACGCCTCCCATCAGGCTGGCCACGGCCGTCTTCACCCGCGTGAGCATTGCTGCTGCTGCTGCTGCTGCGGGCGGCGGAGCGATGCGGGTGGGCGACGATGCCCGCACGGGGACGCAGTTTCTCTGCGTCAGGTAGCAGATCGAGAGCTGCTGCTGCTGCTGCTGCTGCTGCCGTGTCGGTGGTTGAGACTCATTCAGTCGCTGTGGGTTGAACACGGAAATAGGAGCCAAACACGAACAGGCAGACTGGGCTTCACGCTGGTGGTCATGTGACAAACAAACTGGTCGCTGCCGCTCGTGTGCGCGCGCGCGCGCCTCTGTGAGCCGCTTACTGCTGGAGGTCAAAGGTGCTTAATCTGGTAGTGACGATCACCCGGAGGCTGTGTGACTTGTGCAGGAATCTGATAAATACTGCAGGCTGTTTCCCACTCTGACTTTACTGAACACAGCAGGAGGTCACAGTTCTCCATTTTAAAGTTCTGCACAGCACAGGGACTTTTTTAGGACTTCCTTTGAGGGTTATTTTTCGATGAGCTTTAGAGTTTATTTAGGACATGCATCTCCACGCAATGATATCCACATACTTTTCATGCTATATTCAGAGTTTTCACCTCACACGAGTCAGTGCTTTGGTTATGTCTCTGCTAATTTTACATGTCGGCGTCGACTGCGGAGCTTTTCAAGGATCTAAACCCAAAGTCACCCCTGGTCCCGGAGGTCCGGCATCCTGCATGCTTTATTCTCTCCCTGGTGGAAGAAACAACATTTCCAGTTTTTGGCTTCATCAGTTTCATCATTAATTAGGATCAGTTTCCCCGTCCCCGCTGGCAAAAATGGTTCCCCCACATCATGACGCCTCCGCTGCCACCGCCATGTTTCAAGGCTGGGCTGGCGCCTTCAATTTCTCTTCCACATTTGCTGTTTGAAATTCAGGACGAGTCTTTTAAACTTCACCTTCTTCTTCAACATGTTGCTTGTGGTCCAAATGTGTATACAGCATTGGATGAACATCTCTGTGCAAAACACATTAGATTTTTATCAACTTGTATTTTTTTAAAAACCGCTCTGAAATCACTTCTTAGAACGGCAAAGTCCCACAGCAATGATCGTGTTGCCCTTTGCCTCCTCTTCTTTCATAGTTCAATATTTCTTGTCACTCGTTACAGAAAGTGAATTTTATGCATTATATTGTATCATTACACACAGAGTGAAATATTCCAAGCCTTTATTTATTTTTTGTCATTTTGATGATTATGACTTGCAGACAATGAAAGCCCAAATTTTTCTCAGAAAATAACAAAGCTGTGATAAAGATTATTACTGACAGTAAACCAACTGTCTCCAAATTGATGCGCTTCCACCAAGTGAATATATTTTTGAGATTTTATTGACAGTTAAGTGAATGATTGAATGAAAACTCAGCTGTTGAGTGCATAATGTTTTGAGAACATTATCTTTAAACTGATATTGCGTGTGTATTTGAGCTACAGTCGTATTCCTGAAGGACACACACACACACACACACACACAAGACATTGGAAAGCAATAACTGATGAAAGCACAAATCCTCTGTCAGAAAGAGAAAAAGACGCAACAAAACCAGAAGCAAAACTCAGAGTTTCCTTCCTGAAAGCAAGCCGAGAAATCCAACCTCTGAGGATCCAGTGGGGCATCGATTGGCCAGCAGAGTGACGGCCCCAGAGCTACGGCAGCACTTCAGTCAAGTCAAATCACGTGGCCTTTGGTATCCTCACTGTTCCTTACCGGCGCCGCACTTTTCCAGTTCAGACTGGACTTTGAAAAAGTGTTTATCGAGTCGTTGTACGATGCACAGTCAGCAGACGAGCCGAACCGCACAGAGACCTCAGGCTTCTTTCCGTTCGTGGAGCGGTGCAGAGAGCTGGAGAGAGCAGAAGTGCAAGACACTCTTTGAGATTTGGTGAAAAAAACAACAACATTATTTTGTTGTTATCATTAAAAACAACAACAACAAAAAAATGTTTCCCCTGCAGGCCTGCAGACATGATGACTCATCCCACTCCAAGTTTTGCTGGTAGAAAATATTCAGTGAAACTCTGGTTTCTGGCCTGCGTGGCTGTAACTCACGGCGCTTTGATGCTGACATTAGTCGATGTCAGCATCAACTCCAGTGATGTCACAGAGTGATTTGATTTGACCTGAATGTAACTGGGACTTTGGTAAATGTGACATAAACTGCAAAAGTGCAGCTGTGACCAGGGGAAGAGAGAGGGCTCCGAATGCACAGTCACTGCCTGAGTTCTCGGACTGTGGCTGGACCGTTCAAACACTTGGAGACACAAAAACTTTTTCACATTTTAGAAAGTGAAAGTGAAAGGTAATTTATACTGTTTGATTAAAATCATGTGCTGCTTTTGATACTTTTCAACTGCAGAGGGTGATGAATAGACTTGATTTTCACAAGGAAATGTGATTTAATAAAAACAGACACAGTGTTTTTGCTTGGCCATGACAAAAATGCGACTTCTGATAGTTTTCCTTTCAACAATCATTTCCTGCCACTCTTTTTTCAAGGCCATGTTTGTTGGGTGGAGAATGAGGCGGGTAATCGTCCTTCCAACAAATTTTCCGGGGTTTGCATAGTAACCAGCTACATTTACGTTTTATGAACTAAAATACTTTTAGGAGAATTATTACCTGCACGGTACTTTCACTTTTACTTGAGAATTTTTTTTATGAAGTAACGCTACTCTTACTTGAGTAAAATGTCTGAATGCTATAAGCATTATGTAACAAAATTAATTATTTCCATTTTTATCCTTAAAATACAAAATAAAATTGTTAAAAATCCACATAACTACATAAAAATCATAATTTTTAAATATTAAATGATTAATTGTTTGTGTGATAGAGTAGCCTTTTTACACAAACACATTTTTACTTTTTAAAAGTAAAAAGTGTGTCTGTCCACGTTTTCCTTTTACCTGAGTGAAAACATATTGAAGTAGTGCTACTCTCACTTGAGTCAAATCTTTTGGTTGCTCTACTCAGTCGACCTCTGCTCCACAGCCAGCAGAGCGGATGATGATCGTTGTCTAATGATCTTCCTAATGATCATTAGTCCAGCTTCTTGTTTGTGTTCAATAACGATGATCATCTTCGCTCTTTAAAAGTCAAGCGCGATCATTAAATCTGAGAGCACGATCATTAAACCGAGGCTTTCCAGAGACAGTGAGTGGTCTGATGATGGACTGCTGGCAGACTACCGCTGATCAATAATTTAAAGTTTTCTCTGCACAGAGTTCCACTGACCCGATTACGCCTACAAGCTGACACGGCGCACAGAGGCGAGGTTGATAAATATGTGGCAGGACTCTAAGCGCTGCTCTGTAACGAATTAACCTGAGTGATATCAAAACTGAGACAGATTGGTTGCTTTTCAGCTTCCAGGGCATCTGTAACGCAGAGTTCTCTGCAAAATTAGACCCCGGTCGCCTCAGTTCGGTCGTCAACAACATCCAGACTAACTCTGTTTGATGGAGTTTCAGTGTCTGACCTGCGCTGTCTGGTCTGCTTGGCCTGATTTCACTTCATGCTCCATGATCAGCACGGAAGCGGGGGCATCATTATTACTGACCCCGCGAACAGTCGCGCGGTCACTCTGAGCTTTCCGGGGCGGAAGGAAACAGTGTAAGGTTTGATGACGTTCGAACTTCCAAAGGTTCGAACTCCTGAGACCTGAAAGGTTAGCGTAGCTTGGTGTCTCTGCAAAATGAAACTTTTGTTGTGAAAGAATATTGTTGCATACCAATCTACTTGGTCTCTACAGAGACATGGCAGCCTGTTGAGAACTCTGGGAATGTTTTCATCACACAAAGCGGGACATGAATGAAGAAAACTTCTCAAAATATCAGTGGTTCAGTTTTTTTCCTTTACAGAGAGACTTTAATGCCTCTTTTTGCTTTAAATCCAAATAAGCTTCTGCTGGCCACTTCTCCTCTACTCGACATTTGCACTCGCATGTAAAAATGGCTGCAAACAAATACTCAATTATACAACCGAACATCTTTGAAAAGCATAAGTGGAGCCTCCTGCACAGCCCACAAGAAAGCAGCAAGCAGTTTCTGGACAGTAAGTCAACAACAAAACACTTGTCTCTTTCAGCAGCCATTGTACAGCGGTAAAACTGACCAAACATGCTGGGGCTCCTCTTGGGTTGCTAGGTGACAGGCCGGGGTTGCTAGGTAATGACGCAGTGCCTGTTGAATATGACTTACAAATCGGGAAGATTTTGAAACAGGCCATTTTCCAGACACCCATTTGCTATGGTTACGCATCCCAACGAAAACATAAACGGAAATCCAGTTGTGGCCAGTTTGTGTGACCTCCAAACGCAACTGGATTTCGTTTTGGTGTTTTAGACTTAAAGAACATAAATAGAACATAAATGCACAGAACATTTTTCTGAAAATAACCAAATAAAAGCAAAAACTCCAATGAAGTTTGAGGTTCTTTGCAGGACACCGAGTGCAAAACTAATTGAACTTATCGGAAAGAAGAAAAACAAAGTTTCCACTTTCACCGGTCCTGTGGTATTTTGCAGCTCCAGCAGCTTCATCTGATGTTTTAGAGACCTTACCTGTGGTAAAAAAAAACAAACAAAAAAAGTGAAAGTGAAATTTAAAGTCTTTGCTTGTTACTCAAAATGAAGCAGGCGAAAATAACGAGGTGAACCATAAATCATGTTCAGCAGGTTGTTCTGTGCCTCTGCCACATTGCATAATGTTGCAGTGTTAGTCAGCGATGACTAGATCTGATTTAACTCCACCGGATTCAATCATTTTCTATTTTGGGTTCATGTCATGCACATCGCCTCCCTTCACCTCTGCCTTCTTCTTCTTCACATGATCACGACATAGATGACAGGGGTCAAGCTGGCTTAAAAAACAAATGAAAAATTCTGTTGTTTTTTTTTGGATGGACGGCTGTGTGTGGGTTTAATAAGCCGGGCCCGTCTGACCGATGACTGACTCACTCACACAGACACACAGACAGCTCCCACACACATTCACGGGGGAGGATAGACGACCCGGAGGCGGCGGAGCGGCGTGTGCACGCAGAGGGTTTGCGTCTGTCCGGCAACAAATGTGCGAGACAGACAGTGAGGTGACTTATTAGACTTAATGTCAGCGTGGATTGTGCCAGTCTTGTGTGTGCTTATGATGGAGATAATGATAGCGACTCTCACTGCAGTGTTTATTTTCAGGGTGTCATCA